GAAAATTTGACCTCAGGTCAAGGTCATGACCTGACCGGAAAGGGTCATGTTGCATATCAGTCGATCCGTATCGTCGAGCTGAACACATCTAAGGCGTTTTCATCGCTCTAGCATGCCTCTATCAAAAGTTATTTGCGAAAAACTGATAGATACCATTCGTGACCTAAGATGACCTCAGGGCATAAACAAGGGTCACGGACACCATTTTCATGTTCAGTGTGTCTAAACCACTTGTAATTCGGTGTTTGGGAGTGTTTATAATGTCTTTCGTCCAAAAGAGGCGCATTTCAATTTTCTCCCATTGACTTATAATGGGGAGGTCGCAAAATTGACCTGACCTTAGGTCATCGATATCAAAATTCTGAGATATACATTTTGTACATGCTATTGCTCTTAGCGATCGCTGAAAGTTTCAAAGCGATCGGTCACTCGGTGTAGCTATGACAGACATTGAAACTTTTTATGAGGTGAGGTCACTTCAAGTGACCTGGTGACCTGACCTTGAATGACCTTGGTCTGAAATTTTCACAACATGTGTAGAATTGATGTATGATAAGGTGTACCAAAAACGGCGGCGCTCCGCGCCGCCGTTTTTGAGATATTCGCGAAAAACCACAAGGGGGGGTGTTCAAACACCCCCCCCCCCAGCAGGGCGCGGGTTAATAGCCGTTTTCACGACGGCCATCTGGTACACATTTGGTGCAAATTTGGTGCGGATTAGGTGCAGATTTGGTCAAATTAGGTTCAGTGTGTCTCTTAGTAGCTATCAGCTAGGGTTGTACTAATTGCTTATTGCCTGCTTTGTCATATTATCAGAGAGTATCATCGATTAAAACACTGAAATATGTACTTTCATAAAATAACGATATTTGCTGTAAAAGAGATTAGGTGCAGATTTGGCCAAATTAGGTGCACTCACCGAAAAGCCCGTCGTGAAAACGGCAACTAGCTACTTTCGGGACACATACTATGGCTACTAAAGCCTTTATTTCATCCAATGCGATATAAATAATGTTATAAGTTATTGATACGACTCGTCTATGTACAACGGCACTCATAAGATAAAGTATCTAATTAATCCTCGCCGTCACAGGCCATTTTGAGTACTTCGACGGCACAAGGGGGGGGGGGCGGTACGATCCCCCCTTGTTTGGCCCCTGATCGAGCTAGAGCGTCGCGGAAAAAAACAAGCGTGTTGCCCGTCACGAGGAGAAGCCGATGATCTCAATTTTAAGGTCCTAGGTCATCGGCGACCTTTCAGGTCAGGTCAATGGCCCAAAAGTTGGGAAAATCGGGACCTATCATAACGTCGTAAAGTGTAGCTGCCATAAGGTTTTTCGGGGTGCTGATCACGAATATCATGTTAGTTTTGTTCACATATGATGTCTTTATGCATGTAGGCCAGGTCGGCTCAGGTCAGGTCAGGTCAACCAGTAGGGGTCCTGCCGGGTATTCGTAGTACGTGTCAACCGCCTCTGACAGCTTCGTAACATGTTACGAACGCACTATACCTTCTTCGTAAATGTTCAAATGGTTGAAGTCGAATTCAGCATAAAAAACTAGCCTAGAAACATATCACACTCGAAAAAGAGGACCGAGGACACCAAAGGTCAATAATCTGACCTGACCTTCAGGTGACATTGACATCCACCCTAATGCATGGAGGCAACATCAAGCCAGGTACATGTTTGTACGTTTGACACCACGAAAAGACTGCAAACACGCGGCTAATGCGAGCCGACATACGCCGAATCACGATTCCGGCCAAACATGGTCTCGAAAAGTAGGTCACAGGTCAAAAGGTCATCTGGGTTAAGGCCATGAAATTTTTAGGGTAGGTGTAAAATTGATTATCACGAAGGTACTGAAAGTCTCGTCGCAATCAATCACTTTTTCCGCGAGTTATTTGCGAAAAACCTTATCAGGGGGGTTGCATCACCCCCTCCCCCTGTGCTGGCGAGGGCTAATATCGTTTTGTATCACAATACCCAATACGTGTAATCCAATTCACAAGTTTAGAAAGTATTACCGGTTCCGCCCGTGCGTCTCTGTCGTGTCGCCATTTACACCCGACTGACGACAGCGGGAGAGCGACAACAGCAGAGCGACAGCGCTCAGTCGTCAGCCGGACGTCGCAGCAGGATGGCGCGGCTTGGCGCGCCTCTGAGACTGCTGAGAATCTTGGATCCGGTCGGGATGACACAGGTTAGCGGTCGATCGGTGGGTCCGCAACCGGTCATTGTGAGGCAGTTTGTGAGGGTTAGTGGTGTCTCGTCCGTGGTGGAGAAGTTGAGAGATGTGGTGCAAAGAAGAGGAGAAATGAGGGAGACGGTGACAAGAGATGGTGGTGGGAATCAGACAGCAAGAAACAGCGGGACAATATCGTCAGAAGTGGATTTCAACTATGTGAATCCGTCTCCAGCGGTTCTCAACACGACACCAGTCTCTGTCAAGAAAACAACATCAGTCAGAAGGACTCCATCAGTGAATGATGTGTCCGGAATGACGTCACTGAACGTCAGAGGAGTGACGTCACATGTCAGTGAAGTTCCACCAAGAGAAGAGAATAAAGGAACTCCGTCAGCTGATGCTCGAGGAAGTGCCCTCGACATCAGTGAGTTCCCGTCCAGAGAAGCTTCTACCAATGTTTCGTCAGCTAACATTGGTGGATTCACATCATTCGAGACTCCTTCCGTTGCTGTCAAGAAGAGCTCATCAACGGTGCTTCGTAAGACTCCGTCAGTTCTCAACACTTGGACTCCGTCTACCACAAGCAGTGTAAACTTGTCAACTAAAGTTAGTGAGAAACTATCTCCTAGAGTGAATGAGAATCTGTCCGCTGCTCTTAGTGAGAGTCCATCACAGATCATCGAGAGTCCCTCAGATGGACTCAACGAGTCTTCAGCCAGCGAGAGTAGTCTCTCAGATGGAGTCCACGAGTCACCATCCTCCTCCATCAGCTTGTCTGACTCTGACATCTGGACGGATCTGAAAGACTCAGCAATTTCCACTGACGACGCATGGCAGTCTTCCAGTTGGATTGAAGCCGTGGAGGCTGGAAACCGCTACCTAACTTCCACCCGCAACCAGGCGGTAATCAGAAGTCTGTTGCCCGAATCAATCCACAGCATTCTGTCCGAAACGGTTCTTCAGCTTGCTGCTTACAGGCGTCAACCTCGTGCAGTTCTACTGCTTCTACTGGCTTCTACTGTAAATGGTGACCAGCCGGTGCTGACTGATCAAATGCACCTCGCCAACATCGTTGAACAGTTTCATGTGGCAGGACTGTTGCACAACAGCCTCGAGGTAGGTGCCGCAGGCCGTTCGCTGGTTCTGGCTGGCGACCTGCTGGTTGCGAGTGGTTTATTCTCGCTGGCTGAGCTGCGATGTGGTGCTGCTCATCAGCTGTTGTCCAGCGCTCTGACGGCACAAACCGAAGGATCCCTGCTGGGGAAGTTAGACGATGCTGGCAGGCAAGAACCAAGTGAAGACTTTGGACCGAGTGAGTGGCGAAAACAGCAGCACCTCAAACACGGCAGGCTGCTGGCGGCTGGTCTCCAATCTGTGCTGATATTGGGCGATCGTAATGGAACGCGGTTGAGTGATGACGTCATGAAATCAGCTGCCTCGCTAGGAGACAGTGTAGCGTTAGCATTTCAAATACGCGCCGACCTGGGGGTCGTCTGCGCTCCAGAGAGCCGACTCAATCCTGCAGCGCTACCCGTGGCGCGGTGGTTGAACACAGAGCCCGAGTGGCTGGCTCGGTGGCAGCAAGGACTGAGCCCTGAGGAAGAACAGGTGGTGCGATTCGCTGTGCTGAGCAGTGCTGCCATGGGCGATACTCGTGCCGATCTGTGCAGATATGTAGCGCAGGCGCGCGGGGCACTAGAGAGTTTCCCCAAGTGTGTGGCAAGAGATCTGTTGGATGCTATTGTGAGCGAGTTTCTGTTGCCCGTGTAATTATACTATGTACTTTTCAGTGTCATTGGTACACGCTGTTTCCCAGATGTGTCTGCGTTTCTCTGTGAATATATTTAATAAATATTAGCGGGCATTTTCGCCTTATACCTATTCTGAAACACCCGCCAAATGTTGTCAGTTGTTTAACAGTGTATTCAGTTTTTTAAAGAGTATTGCGACTATAATTGGTTGAAAACGTAGGAAAGCTCATAGAGTGTGATGTAAAAGAAACTGTAAAAAGAACTTCACAATACAACGAAAAGGAAATTATAACTTCAACCATGGATGAAAGAGTCTTCAACTTCAAGCTGATTTGTAAAAAATGACTGCATTTTAGACACACTAGTGGCTAATCAGCTGACTGCGGCCTCGCGTGTTGTAAACAAGTAAAACGTTCCGGTTATGCAGTGAATAGACCGCGTGTTTTTGTTGAAGTGCTTTCATTAGGCGTTTTAATTGATTGTTGAATTTTGTTGAGAAGCGTTTCTAATGAAATTCATCACTTGCTTCGTCCAATATATTCCAAGAGAAACTGTGTATTCTATTGTAAAAGAAACTCCATTTTTGTCTCTGTTGCGCCATAGCTGGATATCCACGACTTGTTTGATGTATGATAGGCATATTTTTTAAGTTTTTAAAATGGATTTGGATTCGAGTACATATTGAAATGCATATGGACAATCAGAAATCTTTTTAGGAGCAACTGTTATTTGATTCTCCCATGTAATGTATCCCAGTCAGGAGGTCTTCAATATTGAACGAATGCACGTTAAATCTTTTTTTCAAGATTTATTCTAAACCTTTTGAATGAAACGATTCACAAGGACAGAGTCCCCACTAAGCGAAGCTTGTTGAGTTGACCCTGCCCTGTACCCTCCGATTGCGCATTTCCAGTTCTATGGCAGAATTGGGAGCCCAAAGTTGAAGCTAAATGTGCACACATAGCCGCACACTGCAGGTTCCCTCACTGACTTCGCCTGGCTACAGCCTGCCACCAACCACAACCATACCTGTCAGGAGGCTCATAAATGTCAAGCGCCTGTCACACTTCAAACCCGGACTGTTGTAACTGGGAACGTGTGCTCTCACCACACGGAGTCCAACGCTCTATGACTGAGCTACTGGACTAGCTTTGGCAGGAACCGGCTTTGGTAGGAAGGTAGGTAAGCAAGAAAAGTAGGTATGTGTGCATGTACTTACCTACTTTCCTAGCAACTATGCAATTATGGTAGTTTAATTTATATTTCTGAATTCTGTGAGTACTCCCTCTCATGAGATTATGGTCATGTCACCCCACCCTCTAAGTGTTTAAAATTGCAAATGTGATTATCAGCACATGTCACATAATATATAAATTGAAAGATGATACTGAACTGATGCCCAAGTCGATAATAGTTATTTAAAATTAAGACAGTAATTATGTTCACTTTTATGCAAAAGTTAAAACATTTATTTTAAGATAGTTTTGCCCAAATGCATTTGAATATTATTTACATCTCCATGATTTGAATTGTTTTCATAAAGTAACCCTGCCAAGTGCCATGTCTACATTATACCTACCTATTTTATAAACAGAAACAAGCTTGCAGGCTGTAGTGGCAGTTTTGAACAAAACAATGAAACAACCAAAAATTGCAAAATGGATATTCTGCTAAAGCCAATAAGTGTGGGAGTTTACCAGTGAACACTCACTTGCAGATCCAGGGGGGAAGCATTTGAGGTAAATGCTCCCTCGCAGCACCCAAATTCAATTGTTATTTGCTTCTTTGTTATAAAATGGAAACATGACACTTCTTAGAAGGGAAAGTTTGTTTTAAACTGCACATCTGACAGCAGCTTACATAAGAAATTGAAATTAGAAATCTGATTAGTTTTTGGAATTTGGTGATTGTTTTGGGGTATGTGGTATGCCCCCTTGCATCAACAAAGACAGCCCTTCTGGATCTACCAGTGTGACTACTAGTGTACTCAGAGCTTTGCCCTTATACCTAGCTATCATACCCTGTAAATTTATAGATTCCATTCCAATGAATTATTCTTGAGGAATACAGTCCTTGAAATAGAGATAAAATTGTTTTCTTTCTGTGCTTGAGGTCATTTGTAGACTTCTGTAAAAATCTATAGAAACCACCCTATTTAAATCAGCTAGTAGTCATCTTCAATTCACAACAGTTCATTTACTTTGTTTATTGAACACATTTAAGGAGATAGTTATGTCATCATAAAAACAAATACCAGATCAGTGCTTGCTTAGTTCCTGATAAGCACAGCGCACTTGTTCTTATTGTTTATTGTTGTAAGTGCAAGTTAAAGGGACACTCCCACCTTAACATTAGTTTTGAGTTGAGATAGCCAAATTGGTGGCCATGGCCTGCAAATACCGGTTTGGGTACTCACAACATCGAAAAATGCTTTAATTCGAAGATATGGAATTTCAAACTTGCAGTTTTCGGATTCTAAGGGGCTAATGCATTGGAATGCCCCCTTAGAATTTGTGACGTCAGCGGAGATCTAACGATTTTTAAATCTTAGACTAAAGCCATCGTTAACACGTGGTGGTATACGCTGCTTTGCGCACAACGTCTGCCGCACTTTAAGGCTGCCAAATTATTGCTTCCAAATAAAGTCGCTAGTAACAGGGGAGATCCCAAAAAGTAAACAAAAGTAAAAGCCTAATATCTTGAAAACCAGTGAATATTTTTCGGTGAAATTTGGTAGATATTCGTTTTCGCTCTTTCTGAACCAAGGGACATCACTTTCATGCCAATTCATTAACTTTTTTGAAGGTGGGAGGGTCCCTTTAACTAAAAATAATGGTGTCTTGCAGATGGAAAATTTGGCTACAAATGATGACAATGTTATAAGTTATGCCTTTTTTGGCTGCTTTTAATCTTTTCTTAATTGACATGAGTTAAAATAATTTCACTATACATTTGCAATTTGCGTTCATGGCTTTGCTCATATAAGTAAATATCATAGCATTGACAATGCTAAACATTTCAATCTAAATTAACATGACTGGTGTTGACTGTTTAATGAATCAGCTCTAACATAATTTTTGCATTTTGCAGACAGTAAGACACCTGTGCCAGGCACGTTGGGCCTCAGTATCAACTCTGAGCTCCTGCCAACATTGTGAGACTACCAAGTCATTCCACTGAGACTATAGAGTCATACTGGTCTATCTGCTGGCAGTGATACCGCAAGCTAGCTTTGGAAGTTGATAATACTATCGACTAGCCATGCCTAAGGAGGGAAGGTGAGTTTTTTCAAAAAATGCTGCTATATAGTTGGTGGGAGTATAGTTTTTAGTGTTTTATTTGTGGAAGACATCAATATGTTTCAATTTATGCACATGGTCAATGGTCATCATCCAGTCTTATTACGGAGCGAGCGAAGCGAGCGGAGTCTTACGTAGAATAACGGAAATTTCTGAGTATGAGCGGCCGGCCGGCCGGCCGGCCGTGCGGACGCTTTTGCGAGGCTTATATCTCAGCAACCACTTGACCGATTTACATGCGGTAATTTTTGTAGGGTAGCTTCATTCCTTCTACCAAGTATTGGACTATTCCCGATGCATGTGGGTGACCCCTTATGCACGTGCCACGTGCAAAACGAAGAGGTGTCAGTTTTGTAATTGTTGCAATATCTCGGTAACTACTTGGCCGATTGCGCTGAAAGTTGGTATGTAGGTAGGCACCCACTAGGCACTGCATATCCATGTGCCAGAGTTGGGGTGCTGCTGCACGTGCGCACGTGCAGGGGTCGTTTCCAGATCTCGAGAACGGCTGGACCGATGGCGCTCAAATTTGGTACACAGTTAGGGACCAGTTGGTAGGGTGCCGTGTACAAGTCAGTTGGGACCCATTTTGCACGTGCGCACGTGCAGGGTGCCGCTCCCAGATCTCGAGAACGGCTGGGCCGATTGTGCTCAAATTTGGCACATCGCTAGAAACCGGTCAGTAGGGTGCCGTGCACAAGTCAGTTGGAGGTACCCCAGGTCGAAATTTCGCACGTGCAAGACTCACCCCTTCGCTCGCTCCGTTAGTCGCCCCAAAAGGCGCTATACTGGTTAGTTATTACTCACATAAAACGTAGGAATTGTAATCAGAGCTAAGAAGTTCTTTATGTAGGTATAATTTGGTTAGTAGATGTTGATTGCAAGGAAGTTGTGATAGATTCATGAGGATACTAATGCGATGTGAGGTGCTAGCTTCGTAGCACATTTTCAGAATATATTATGGCTAAAAACAAAGTGTATGCTAAGACAGATAAAATGTGAAACTAACGCCGTGTACCATTTTCATAACCACTGTGAAATACACTGCCTCCCAATGTTCGCGCGAAATGATCTTGCAGTCACCCCACCCCCTCCCCCCAATGCTCACCTCGTTACCCGCACTGTCACTTGCATTACCTGTGAATGACCGTTTAAAACCATTTGACGTCACAGGTCGTACCGTCGCCGGAGCCGCTCGTCTAGCGATCGAGACTCGCCGGAGCGTGACAGGAGGAAACGGCCAGCCAGGTCAGTTCAGCGTCCCAGAGTTGTGTTGTGGCTTTGGTGACAAGGGGGAAATTCCTCTCCAAAAAAGGGGGATGAGAGTGGAAAATTTGCAGTCAGATAAGGCTAAAAAGTGGTATATATCAGGCATTCATTTCTCTGCAGATATGGTAAAATGCAGGGTGTAAAGCGACCATCCCCGCAAATGTTTTTTTTTCTCGGAAAAATTTGGAGTGAGGAATTGCTCTGAAAATTGGAGGTGAGATTGCTAAATGATTTTCATGCGGATGTCTTTTCCCCAAATCAACAACTTTGTGACATTGGCTTCGTCAAAACTACTGAGAGAGGGTCCGGCTTTGGATGACCCATGAGATCGATATAACACGGTACCGACCTACTGCCTATACACTGATCAAAAGCTAGTTTTACCAACAGAAAAGTCAGCGACCGCTGTGTGTTTATTTTTAGCCTGAAGTCGCCACCAGTTTCAGTAATCACGCGACAAAATACCGCTGATGTCAAAATCTATCAAGCAGTGGGCTACTTATTACATATGGCGCTATTATTCTCGCGACCGGTGACACTTGTTGGTGACATTTTGATTTAAAGATGACCGTAGCGGTCGGCGGTGAACCGCCCGCTAACGGCTTTCTGTCGCTAAAACTGGTTTCGTTTCCGCGTTTCTGACGATGCTGAATGTTATCTGCATGTTATGCTCGGGTTAGGGTCACTGACCACGGACCAGTACTGTATGGTGTCCGAATGTCACTTAAAATTATCTGATTGTCCTAGAACGTTGGCTGACCTCTCATGCCTATTCTAACATCGCTTATAATGTCTTACGAAACTTTCAGCAATATCACACTTGCGCACTGTTTGTCATGTCGATTCTCAGATATGCTTTATCTGAACATAACCTTTCATTATTTACCCATTACTTCTTTCTGTCGCTTGCCGAAAGCGCCGAAAGCTCTTACCGCTTTCTGGCTGTTATACGATATCTTACCCTTACCTTGCTCCAATAGACGGTGACTCATTCACTCTTTTTAACAAAAAGCCAAAAAAAAAACACCAAGATAGCTTATTCATTTTCAATAGATATCGCATTACCGGGCCCGGAATCTAACCACTACCCTCTACCCACAGACGTCGCTCCCGCTCTCGGAGCAAGGACCGCTCCTCTCGCTCTCGTCGCTCCCCCGTCAGCCAATCATCACGGAGAGAGCGAAGCAGACGGGAGCGGAGCCGGCGGTCCAGGAGCAGGGAGCATAGGCGGAGCCGGAGCCGGAGCAGGTGAGAGAGAGAGAGGGAGGGGAAGAGAGAGAGAGAGAGAGAGAGAGAGAGAGAGAGAGAGAGAGAGAGAGGGGGGGAGAGAGAGAGAGATACGGGTGTGAGAGCGTTTCCTACTCCCTAGTACCAATCCTAGGTGTAGGATTGGTTTTAAGCCGATGAAGCACGATTGATTCAGACTGCAAACTAGTGAAAATAAGCGACACTTTATGCCTTTGAGACCGGGTGTCAAGTGGATAACTTAGACAAGTTTAAGAAGAAAAGTGAAATTCAAAACTTTTTTATTGTCGCCCAATGCTTGCCTTTTACTTTGTGTATTTCCCAAAACAGGCATGCAGTAAAATAACGAATTAATAAACGAATGAAGTGGTAAAAAATGAATTACGTTTTACGAATACTATGCACGTATCCTAGACGCCGGCAAACCACTCATGCCTGCATTTTAAAGGGACCCTCCCACCTTAAAAAAGTTAATGAATTGGCTTAAAAGTGGTGTACCGTGAATCAGAAAGAGCGAAAATGAACATCAACCAAATTTCACCGAAAAATACTCACCCGTTTTTGAAATATAAGACTTTTATTTTATAACGCGCGGTCAATGGGCTTGATGACGTCATCAGAGTCCGTTAGTTTAAAGGGACCCTCCCACCTTAACATTAGTTTTGAGTTGAGATAGCCAAGTTTGCGGCCAGGCTCAGAAACCACCATTTATCCTGGTCGCAACCCCCGCAGCTTTATGGTGTTCAAGAAATTTCTTCCCTTTACTTGCAGGGTGGGACCAGCGTGGTCCCTGTCTCTTAACCATTACGGGAATCTGATGACGTCATCAGGCTTTCGAACGTCCGTTAAATCGCGTTAAATGTTTGACTAAAACGTTTTGTAGCACGCGGTGGTATATGTTGCTTTGCGCGTAACAAATGCCGCACTTTCAAATAAAGTCGCTAGGAAGCGGAGATCCCAAAAAGTAAACAAAAGTAAAAGTCTAATATCTTGAAAACCGGTGAATATTTTTCGATGAAATTTGGTAGATATTCGTTTTTGCTCTTTCTGAACCGAGCGACATCACTTTCATGCCAATTCATTAACTTTTTTGAAGGTGGGAGGGTCCCTTTAAAGGAAAAGGGCTACCTTTAACATGGGGATTGAAACTGAGATAGCCATCTTGTAGCCCGTGTCCGAAAACCTATATGTTTATCTCCTTACGGCCGATTTCGGCCTCCATTCGTACTTCGTAGTTATCGGCAATTTTAAAAGAAAATACGCCAGGAATGCGTCCTTATCCCAGGAATGCGTTCTTATCCGACAATACAGCCACCCGCGGCGAGGCTTTGGTTTTTTACCAATCAGCTCCAACCAGCTCAGCTTTAATCAATCAGCTTATCTGACACAATCCGACGAGTCTGTCTTCTGAACGCTGATTGGCTTGAGTGTGACGTCATCGCTATGCCATCATACAGTAGGTGCCGTAGAGAGTATCAACATAGTACCAATATGTTAAATAGTTTTAAATACTTTTTCGCGAATTGTGCACTTCTGGCACCAGTTTTAAAAAGAAAATGAAAAATAATAATGTCAAAATGAAAATGAAAATTCAAACGGCGTTCGATAGCCCTGTCAAATTTGTCGAGGGAAACCAAATTTCATTGACCTCGGGGTCACCGATGACGTCACAGGTCAGGTCAAAGATAAAATATTTCACCGTTCACGGGGCTTCTAGGGAAAGCGCTATAACACCGAGTAAAACGCATTTTGTCGATAATCAGCGATAAGGCGTCAGTTGTCTAGTACATATGTTGCTATTAGAGGTCACTGGTCATACCAGGTCAGGTCACAGGTCAGGTCACCAAAGGTCACCAAGGGTCACCACATGAGCCCAACTTTACAAGGTTATGCGATGCATGTTTTATGGCCAGTTTTTCATTTCCAACTCAATGGTGTTGGTTATAAGACTATCAGATACAGTTTAGGTCACTTTCTGGTGGAGGTCAGGTCAAGGTCAGGTCAAAAAAGGTCAAATTTCAAAGTTGATATTTTTGCATAAAATGGGTATCGATTCGATGCAGCTCGTCACGGGGAGTCTAATGGTGGTCTTTGTTTTGCGCTACGAGGTCTAGAATTGCTAAAAATTGAGTTTGAAAATTTGACGTCATCAATTTTGAACAGTTTTTTCGCTATAACTTGGCCAAAAAAAGAGGTATCGATCTCAAATTTGGTATGTAGATAGAAGGCGGTAGGGGCTATCACATATATTCCGTTTTTTCGAAATTCAAAAAACTTTTTAGATTTTTTGGCTATTATATTCAAAAATCTATTTTTTTATTTTTGGGGGTCAAAATCCAAAAAATTCGAAAAACCGAAATAGCAGTTTTGTGGTCCTTTTAATTCCACACCTTTTATGTTTGAAACATTTTTCTGTATCTCTAAAGCTGTAGGCCTGACAGCTCTTCCCGCGAAACCTTTTTTTGGGTCGAAAATGGCAAAAATGACGTCACTCTGACGTCATTAGCGGCCAACCTATCATAGCTTTTGGAAAAAAATTTTGGTCACCATGTGCACTAGCTGCTCCCGGGAGGGTACTGAAAGTTTGGTGACGATCGGCGCAGCGGTTCTCGAGATATATCGAAAAAACTAAAGGGGGGGGGGGCAAAAAAATGCCCCCCCCCCACCGCCTGGAAGGTTAAGAGATAGGGACTACGCTGATCCCACCCTGCAAGTAAAGGGAAGAAATTTCTTGAACACTATAAAGCTGCGGGGGTTGCGACCAGGATAAATGGTGGTTTCTGAGCCTGGCCGCAAACTTGGCTATCTCAACTCAAAACTAATGTTAAGGTGGGAGGGTCCCTTTAACACCTTACGTTTCTTGTATAACGACAACTCAAGCTAGCCTTGCAGTGTATTATATGCTATGTTTATGACTTATTTCTAGGGACCGCAAGAGGCCCCGCTCCCAAGAGGCGCCGCGCCGGCCCCCGGCTCCTTATATTACACCTCACCATGCTATATTATACTAAATTAGTGTATTTCGCTGTTTTGCAGGGACCGCAAGAGGCGCCGCACCCGCTCCCGCTCCCGATCCGCCAGTCCGGATCGCCGTAAGTCGGACAGACGCACGGAGACGACATCCGCCCCGGCCGCAGCGGCGACACATGACCAGGAGAACAACTCGGCCTTCGACCCCACCACCATGGATAAGGTAGGAAGAGGTCTATGGTAGGTTTTCGTTAGGTCGGTGTCACTCTAAGGCTAGTGACCCGTAGCTCAGTTGGTTAGAGCGTTGGACTCCGCGTGGTGAGAGCACGCGTTCCCGGTTACGACAGTCCGGGTTCGAAGCGCGACGGGCGCTCGACATTTATGGGCCTCCTGACAGGTATGGTTGCGGTTGGTGGCAGGCCGTAGCCAGGCGAAGTCAGCGAGGGGAACGGCCGTGCGCGGCTTTGTGCGCACGTTAAACTTTGGACTCTAAATTCTGCCATAGAATCGGAATTGCGCGATCGGAGGGTAGAGGGCAGGGTCATCGCAACAAGCTTCGCTTAGCGGTGGCTCTGTCCTTGTGAATCCTTCCCATCAAAAGGTTCGGACTAAATTTATAAAGAAAAAAGAAAAGAAGAGAAAAAGGGGGAGGGAGTGACGGCTCCGTTACTTAACTTTTGCCTAGTGACAGCCCTGGGAAGAGATGTACAATGCAAGAACTAGCTACCCAGTGCGTAATGCATGCTATAACTGTATGTACAGTAGGCCTACAAAATAAGTCCCTTCCGTATGCGGGCAGGTGGCGCCTGAGTAGCGCTCAGGCGCTAACTGCCCACTGGTGACCCGGTTACGGCGGGAACTTATTTTGTAGACCTACTGTACACACACTGATACGTTGTGGGTGTATTCTGACACCTTGGGGCGGATGCCTTGTGGGCGTTACCTGACACAAAGAAGGCGTGTTCTGACGCACTGTGGGCGTGGTCTGACACATGGCGGGCGTGGCTTATCCAACAGGAGGCGGAGCAGCAGAGGCTGGAACTCGAGATGAAGAAAAGGCGCGAACGGATCGAAAAATGGCGCGCAGATCGGAAGGTCAAAGAGATGGCTCAGGCTAAGAAGGAGCTGGAGAAGGGCACACTGCTGGGTAATTATATTCTATTCTGTGTCAAAATTGACATTTTTTATTATTTCATAGGGCCGCTGTTCTGAAAAGAGTTTGGTATGTGTTTTATTCTCTGTGGGATTCTGGACGTTGAGAGGGAATTGATTAAAAATGACTGCAACTTTTTCACAGTTGAAGAAATCGTAATGTGGTAAATCAGCATATTGTTCGTAAGGCAAAATTATTGTCAACACTGTGCTGCCTACAGTTCTATGCTCATTGTTGAAATATTTCTTATGTAATATGTATGTTCTCACACTTTTCACCATACCCTCCACATAACAGAACCGACACTATCCTCCGCTTACCTCCTCATTCTTACTTCCTTCCTCGCCTCAGAAAACCTCCAGATATCTTCCTCTTTCTAACAAACCCGTAACAACCCCCGGCATCCTCTCTCAGAAAACCTCCAGATCCCCAAGAAGAAGTGGAATTTAGACGAGGACGGTTCGGATGACGAGGAACCCAAACGTACCACCGGAGTGACCTCAGACCAGTCCAAGGACACGGTGGAGGTGAAGAAGGAGGAAGAAGAAGAGGAAGTGGACCCGCTGGATGCCTTCATGCAGGTGCGGCCGCAGAAGGATTTGGGTGATGGAAAGAAGGGAGGGATGGAGGACCTGCTGGGCTTGATGGGTGGTCTAGCAGCCTGTGTGTATTAGGGTGTGTGTGTGTGAGTGGGAAGCGATTTGTATTGACTATATGTTCTCAGATTGGCTCACTACATGGAACCATTGGAATAAAAAAAGGAATTTGCATGATAAAGTTAAATTGCATGATATCCAGGTCTTCATCCCAAATCACTCCTTTTTGTTTATGATACATATCCCGATTTGCCCGCCTATACGAATCACAGTTGCGAAGGAGAAACGGGGATAAACAAAATCTGCTATCGATTCGAAAATATTTTTGACATAGGATCAATAGCCCGCCCGTCGTGTATATTTTATAACCAATCCTTAATATATATCTATCAATAAACTTGCCATCTAACTCCTTTCTCTAACTTCCTCTCTTCTATTTCTGTCCACCAGGGCGTGCACGAGGAGGTCCGTAAGATCAAATCCGGCCGCAGTGGCTCCGCCGCCGCTGGAGGTACACCCTCCGCCACCGGTTCATCGACCACCGGCAGTGGTACCGTGGTGATAAAAGCCGTCAAAACCCGAGCTGTGGCTGGAGAGGAGTCGAAAACTAAGGGCGAGTTGATGGAACAAGATCAGGATGGCTTGGAGTATTCGGAAGAGGAGCCCGAGATGGATATTCACGAGGCGAATGAGAGACTGGCGCAGAAAGGTGAGATGGGGAGATAGAATGGTGAGAATATTTACCTTAAGTATTTACCTTAAGTATTTACCTTAAGTAAAGGTCATTAGATACCCTTTCGAGTAATAAGACCCTTTACTCAAGAGGCGCCTCCTCCTCTTCTGATGAAGACGAGTTGGCTGCCATGCTTGTTGTCATAAAATGACGACCACTGTTGTTAGTGACAGTAGCTACTGTTGTTAATACGATGAGTAGCCACTCTTGAGCATTAGTAGGAGAAGTTGCAGTTAAACTTGTCGGGGTGGTCCTTCCATTCTTTCCCAAGTCTGAACTTAAAAACATCGACATTTGGTGCTTCAATAGTGTTCCTAGACAGCTTGTTCCACGCCCGAGTCACTCGTGCCGCGAAGAAGGCTTTCCTAGGTCCCAACTGATGCTGAACCTGCAGCTTTTGGCCATGACTTCGGGTGGTACGGCTAAGAGAGTTCTTGAACATGCTGTTGCGACAACACGAGCACTCTCTTTGGTAGTTCACCGTGTCGAAGCCTTTTAAGATTTTGAATGTCTCGATAATATCTGATCTTTGCCTTCGGAATTCAAGGGTAGGCAAATTGAGGCTTCTGAGACGATCTGAGTATGACAGGTGAGACAGCCCCTTCACCAGTCTCGTTGCCCGCCGTTGCACCTGCTCGAGTGCGTCTTTATCCTTCTTAAATTTGGGGCTCCATATAACAGCGGCATACTCAAGATGGGGTCTCACGATGCTCTTGTACAAGGCTTGAAAGACATCACTGTCAATGTTTGCAAAGGTATGTTTGATGACTCCGAGAATTCTATTGGCCTTGTTAACCTGGTTCATGACATGTTTTGAAAATGATAGTTTCTTGTCAATAGTAACTCCTAGGTCTTTTTCTTCACTGACTGCTTCCAGAGTGTGATTGTCTCCATCTATAGTAGTCATAGTATATTCTTCTTCAGGATTAGTTGATCCTAGATGCATGACCTTGCACTTCAGTGGATGGAATAGCATCTGCATTGTTCTTGCCCAATCCTGTATAGAGTTTATGTCCTCTTGTAAGCCATTTGAACCATCAGACTCGTTGACGACTTGATAGACTTTCGTATCGTCGGCAAACATGGAAATGAAACAATTTAACAGGTCGGGAATGTCACAAACAAACATAGAGAACAAGAGAGGTCCGAGGACTGAGCCCTGTGGCACCCCGCTCGTTACATTCCCCCAATCTGAAAGCGATCCATTTACTTTCACCCTCTGCTGTCTGCCAGTGAGGAAGCTCCTTATCCATCGGCATGTTACGTCATCGACTCCCAGAGCCTTGACCTGGGCCAGAAGCCGTTCATGGGGCACAGTGTCGAAGGCTTTGGCATAGTCTAAAAATACAACATCCACAGGTAACTTGTGACTAAGCGCTTCTGTCCAAACATCAAGTGCTTCCAGTAGGTTTGTGACCGTGGATTTTCCCGTGATGAAGCCATGCTGTTGATGAGCGATAAAGTTATTTGTCTTCAGGTGAGTAATGATGTCTTCGCCAATTATCCTCTCCAAAAGCTTACATAGTATTGATGTCAATGAAACTGGTCGGTAACTTGCAGGATCACTTTTGTCACCCTTTTTAAAGATCGGTGTGACGATCGCCAGCTTCCACTGCAGGGGAATTTCCCCAGTTTCAACGCTTTTTCTAAATAATGCCGTGATAGGTGGCGCAAGCTGGTCCGCAAGCTCCTGTAATACACGAGGGTGTAACTTGTCCGGGCCTGGTGATTTATCGACCTTAAGTGTCTTCAACATGGCATTAACTCTCTGAACAGTTATTGTAACTTCCATCTCTGACTCCAAGGGCTTCGATGCTATTGTTGGAATTGATGATACGTCCTCCTTTGTAAACACGCTCGCGTATTGCTGGTTCAATATGTCAGCTTTGTGCTTGTCATTACTCGTGAGTTCTCCATTAGCACTGCGTAAGTCAGATACACCGCATCTCGACTTCCTACGGCGGTTGACGTAGTTCCAAAACACTTTATGGTTACCTTTTACTTCTTTAGCCAGTTTCGACTCAAATTCCCGCCTTGCTTTCCTTGTCGCGTGAGAAGCTTCGTTTCTTGCCTTAACATAGCTCTGGTAATCAGAAACATCCTTAGTGTTCAAAAAACGAATCCAGGCGTGCTGTTTCTTCTTCACCATCCTCAGAGCATTTCGATTCATCCAGAGGGGATATCCCCTTTTCGATTTTTTGTTAGGATCAACCTTGGGCACATGCTCTTCTATCAGATCCGCGATCGTTTGTTCAAGTTTATCTGCCATCTCCTGCACAGATTTACCTTCGAACAATCCTTGCCAATCCATGTTAAGTGCTTCCCTCATATCTTCATAATTGGCTTTATGGTAGTTCAGCACCGCACTCTTTCTTGCTGGAGCCTTTGGTGCAAACGACATAACAAATGAGATGCTGACATGGTCGCTTGCTCCAACCGGGTCACCAATGCTGAGTTGCTCAACCAACTCCCGCTCATTTGTAAATAGTAGGTCGTCGAGAGTAGCTCGCTGTCCATCCCTGTATCTTGTTGGCTCCGTTATATGTTGTAGAAGGTAGGTGTCGTGTATGCATTCTATAAACTTCCGGGCTGGACTGTTCTGGCTGACACCTTCTGGAACTTCGGGGTCCGGGGTCCAAAATATTTCTGGGTGGTTGAAGTCCCCAACTATGACTTTGTGGGAATGATTTGAGGATGCCGCCCAACCAAACATTTTGTGGAGATCATGATCCAAAGGAATAGCTCTATTTGGTGACCCACTTCTATAGATCACCCCAACGAGCATACTGACCCCAGCCTGGGCATCAATTGAAATCCAGGTACAATCTTGAAAGTTGCCGCCTACCGTAGGATACACTTGCTTGGCCAGTAAGTTTTTCTTGACGTAAATTCCCGTACCCCTTGTACCTTCGGCAGAAAATTTGCTAGTAAAAAGGTCATACCCAGGCACTTCCATAACAGTATGTTCAGGTATCAATCCAACTTTGGGCTTCATTTCTGATAACGCAAGAACATCGTAGTCCTCAAGTGCAATGAGTGCCAAAATAGAGTCGTATTTACTCATGATAGAATTATCGATGTTCGCATAAAACACTTTTAACGCACTTGAATGTGTTGGGGGCCCGGTTGTTTTCGTGCCATCTTGGATGTTTAGCTTTGCAGTGATGGAACCATGACCACTTCGTTCCGTTTTATCATCCATTTCTTTTCTGGGAAAGCTAGGCGCTTTTCCTGCAATAGTGCTCGCAAGTTTTTTGAAGCCTCAAGTTGGCATTTTGTAAGATCTGGACGGATAAAGACACTAGTATATGTTTCATCACGGCTTGTTCGCAGATCCTTCGCTTTAGCCAAGATCAGCTTCTTTTCACTCAGTGCCTCGAGTTTCACTCTAAGTATTCAGGAGCCTGTGTCTTTCATCTTTCCAAGTCTTGTGGCCTCCTGTAACTTCACAGATAACTTGAACTCAGACTTGATCATTTCTTTGAATGCTGCAATGTCTCCCTCGCTGCTGCCGGTCTCGGGGAGGTTGAAAACAACCAAGTTTAGTTTTCTGTTTTCAATGTCTTCTAGTTCAGTCAGTCCTTTCTTCAGGGCTCTGGTATCGGTTGTGTCCTTCTTTACTAGGCTTGACTTTACAGTCACGGCCAGTTCCTCCAGTCTGGTTTCCAATGCTGACATGTTTGCTCTTGCTGCTTGAGCATAACTTAGACTGCTCATCTCCGCTGATGCCGACCCACAGCTTTGCTCCACTTGTTTCAATCTTTTTTCCAGCTTTACTTGGAGGGCAGCTTGAGTAACACTGGAACTGACCTCGATGGCGTTGATTCTAGCCTGCAGCTCTTTTTGACACGCTTCAAGCTTCTGGCTAGTCTGTGAAATATTAGCTTTCAATGCGGCAATCTCAGCACAGTTCTGCTCGCATGTAGATGCGAGGCTTTTGAGGTCGGATTTGATCGACAGCTGCTCTCGCTTCATCGCTATGATCTCGAGTCTCAGCTGCTTAGCTCCTTCTTTGCACGCCCGACAGAACCATGCACAACTGTCTGCCTCGTCCCCAAGGGCTTCGTACAGTTTGTCCGATACTCCTTGGCAAACAACATGGTATCTTAACAAGCACACCTCACACTCCAGTGATCGGTCTTTGGCGCCCATTTCCATCTGACAAGAGCCACATAAGTTTGGGGCATTGTTTACCTTTGCAGCCTTTTCATTTTTGTCATTCATTTTCTTGTTCCTTTTTCTTTTTCCTGCAATGATCCATTCGCTGCTTTTTGGGTCATAGCCTTCGACAAAGCAATCCGAGTCGTCGTCCGTAGAATTGTGCATAATGCCTTGACGCAATCGCTAAATCCTGCGATTCCTAGATCCTAACTTATAAAGCACGTGCCACCAGAGAAAAAATCAAGGGAAGTTGACATTGATGGAGCCGAGACGCTTTCCAAAAAAATTAAGGAAAATAATCCTTTTTTAAACGACTATAGTAGTCCTACACGTACTTTCTGAGAAACATTTACACACCAGAAATAATATACGATAAAATGTGAACATTTTAATACATATTTCACAGCATTATCTGATCTGTTTACGGTAAATAAACTAAAATAGTGGAGCACTTTGAAACACGTCCGACTATTCCAAACGCCACCGACCAATATAGGGAAGTTAGATAAAAAGGTGAGATAATTGTCTCTGACGAGAGGAACGGTAAATATGAAAGTCAGTGTATTTGAGTATTGATTCGGGATGTGTATTGATTCGTTTTCGCTTTGTGTTCATTCGAGCAGCGAATCATGTGACGAATGACACTGATGATATTTAGTGCGCGGTGCTCAGTCAGTTGATTTAAAGATGACGTTCTCTCTTTCTTTTTCTCTTTCTCTTTCTCTCTTAATTCTCTCTCTCTCTCTCTCTCTCTCTCTCTCTCTCTCTCTCTCTCTCTCTCTCTCTCTCTCTCTCGCAGTCTCCGCCTCTCCGTTTGTCTTTCCTTCTCATCCATGTCCTTTCCTTGTTCCCCCTCTCCCCTCATTCTCTTCAGTGTCCGCAAAGCGGCCTCAGGTATTCGAAACTCCCCAATTTCCAATTGACGATCAAACAATCACGTTCCCTCTCTCTCAGGTAAGAAGGAGCTGATGAAGATCGACCACAACAAGATCGTCTACCAGCCGTTCAGGAAGAACTTCTGGGTGGAGGTGCCCGAGCTGAAGGCCATGACTCCGGCCGATGTGGAGGCTTACAGAGCGGTGAGTAGTTTATGAGCCGGTTGCTTTTGGCTTGTGATGGGGGATCTTAAGGCCGCCCCACACTGGACCTCGCATGCGGGTTGCGAGTTTTTGGGTTTTGCGGTTTCTTCAAAATCAAATAATATAATCTAAGCTGAGAGACCCACACCACCATCTAACAAGCTAGTCTGCATGTTTTTAGCTTGCGAGCGACCTTGCAGCGCATTCCAAAGGTTGAATTTGAGTCAATTTTCGATTTTCCTCGCAGCGAGGTCTGCGAGTTCTGCGAGGTTTGCGGGTTTTTCGTTGAAGTCGAATTTCGGTTCGTTGCGCTGGTGTTGCGACTATATGTAAGTTTCTGAAGGTGTACAGGCTTCACTGCATTCATGAAGTTGCCATAAGGAACGGTCTAATCACTCTGTGAATTAGTATTATGCCTGCAAACTCAAAACCCGCAAACTCGCAACCCGCATGCGAGTTCCAGTATGGGGCGGCCTTTATAGTCTGGCAAACCTAAGAAAGAAATGATTTAAAGGGACTATCCCACCTTCTAAAATATTGTTAAAACCAGTTAAATTGTGCCCGACTTTATAGATTGGATGACCAGGAACACGGTTCTGGCATTTATTTTTCATTAAACATCTTAGGCTTCCCATATTCCAAACACAAACTTTCAAATATGTGACGTCACAGCCCAAAATTACCTCCTTCCCCAGGCCACATTACTGTCAGAAAGCTGATTCCTTTTACTCTGTAGGCACCACAACAAAGTTCAGACCAAGTTTTAAGCGATTTTTCAACGAACAAACCCATTTAAATCAGAATGACTAAACGAGGTGACGTCACACTAACGGTCGCTCCATGTTGAAGATAGGGCCTTGTACAAGGCCCATTTTCAAATGAAGGGAACAAATTTCTTCAACACCAAGAGGCCGCGGGGGTTGCAACCTAGACAGATAGTGGTTTCTGAACCTCGCCGCAAACTTGGCTATCTCAACTCAAACCCCATGTTAAAGGTGGGATAGTCCCTTTAAAGTGGTGCGGCCGTTGATGCATGTGCATTTATATTGTGAAAGCATATTTTCTGTCGCAACTTTTCACACAAATTTCTCCGAACCATGCATTTCAAGTAATCAAAACACGTGCAAAGTGATTCAGGCGCTTTAACTCCGTTCTTTCTTAGGTTTGCCAGACTATAGCTGATTACGAGCGAGCGAGCGCAGCGAGCGAAGCGAAGTCTTTTCAATTTAACGGAAAAATCTCAGTATGAGCGGCCCGGCCCGGCCCGGCCCGGCCCGGCCCGGCCCGGCCTGTAACGCTTTTGAGAGGCTTATATCTCAGCAACCGCTGGACCGAATGGCGTGCGGTCTTTTTTGCTGGGTAGCCCCATCCCTTCTACCCCGTAATTGACTACTTTTGATACATCTCAGTGACCACCGTGGCACGTGCCACGTGAAAAGTCAAGGGTGTTCAAGCAGTTTTGCAAAAGTAATGATTTTGAGAGGCCCATATCTCAGCAGCGGCTTGAGCGATTGTCTTGCGGTGATTTTTATAGGGTAGCTGCATCCCTTCTACCAAAGGTCGGATACTCTTCATCTATGTGAGTGACCCCCACTGCACGTGCAAAATACAACAATAAGAGGTGCCAAATTTGTTCCCATTTCAGTAACTCGGTAATTACTGGGGCGATTTCGCTGAAACTTGGCATACAGGTAGGCACCCACCAGGCAATGCATTCCCATGTGTTGCGGTTAGGGTGCTACTGCACGTGCGCACGTGCAGAGGGCGTTTCCAGATCTCGAGAACGGCTGGGCCGATTGCGCTTAAGTTTGGTACACGGTTGGGAACCGGTTAGTAGGGTGCCGTGCAAAAGTCATTTTGGACCCCGTTTGCACGTGCGCACGTGCAGAATGCCGCTTCCAGATCTCAGGAACGGCTGGGCCGATTGCGTTCAAATTTGGTACACCGCTAGCGACCGGTTAGAAGGGTGCTTTACACAAGCCCGTTGGAAGTACCCTCTCGCCCTTCTGCACGTGCAGGGCTCACTATCTCGCTCGCTCGTTCTTCGCCCAAAAGGCGTTTTACTGGTATATACATACATACTACTTCTGGGTCGAGGTGCTGGAACTGAGTGCTATGATGACGGCTGACGTGAAGGCATACAGGGCGGTCATTATTTTGGTCAGGAGAGTCGAGTGGTCAGTTCTGGTTCGGGATCGGTCCGTTTTTGATCAGGGAGTTGTCGGTTTTGGTCTCTAAGCGGTCAGCGTGGCTGGAAACGGTCAGTGTTTTGGTTGGGGAGAGGTTATTATTTTGGTCGGGAGACAAGGTCAGTGGTCAGTCATGTCATTCAGTCATGTAGTCATGAAGCTACATTACTACATGACTGAGTTAACTATATAGTCATGTCATTCAGTCATTTAGTCATGAAGCGGTCAGTGCCTGGTGGGGTCTGGCAGGAATGGTCACTGGTCACCACTGACCAGACCATCGACCCAGAAATGAGTTCCGACCCAGACTTATGACCAGTTCTCTGCCATATTTGACCCATGACCTTTGACCCATGTTTCATGCTCTGGCGTGCCCCGTACTTGATGGCCTGTAACCTGTGACCTTTGATAGATAACATGTCAGCTGATGCATGCAGCTTATGGCCATATGACTTTTGACTTGCCATGTTATGGGCTTATGACAGCGTATTACCTTATGACTTCTGGCCTCTAATTAATAGTCTGACATCCGTTTTTTTTTTTTTGCGACTTGACCATTCACGTCCTGGATATGGGGACGCAATACACCATATCTAAGTTTAGCGTCCTAGCCAGTTTCGTCATCCGACCTCTGACCTCTGACCTGTGACCTGTGACCTCTGACCTCTCACCTCTGACCTGTGACCTGTCCCCCCTCAGGAGCTGGAGGGTATCAAGGTGAAGGGTAAGGACGTCCCCAAGCCCATCAAGACCTGGTCCCAGGCCGGCCTCAGTAAGAAGGTTATGGACGTGCTGAAGAAAAACGACTATGAGAAACCAACGCCCATTCAGGCTCAGGGAATACCGGTCATTCTATCAGGTGAGAATGCGTTGAACGCTGAGAACACTCACGACACCTAGGGTACTGAGAACACTGAACACTGAGCAATAAGAACACTGAGAACACTGTAAGCTACCGTAAACGACGCCCATTCAGGCTCAGGGCAATGGGCATACCGGTGATTCTATCAGGTGAGAACACTATGAACGCTGCATTCATAGCAGTGCACGGGGTAGTGTATGAAACTGTGCAACGCTGCTTTCATTTCAGATCAACACTTTGAAGCTCAGTGGGAAGTCTTTGCACAATACACACAGCAGTTGTGGACTGTGGAGGCATTCTTAATACGTGCTGTAGGAAAAAGTAAAACAGTGCATACTGCAGATGCATTTCTTACATATAACAAGCAAAACTGTAAACCTATAAAAGTTTGCCTTTCAATGTTCATTCTTTAAACTCCCTTTACATTTTGACCGTTAGTTAGCTGCCTGCCACTGTTGTAAGACGTCCATTGGCTCTTCATGCTCTTCAAACGCATAAATTGGCTGCCTGCACCGTCTTGAAGCGCTGGATTGGCTGTCTTCTACGATCCCAGCCCCCTGATTGGTTGTCTCCCACAATTCCAGCCCTCTGATTGGTTCTCTCCATTTCCAGGTCGCGACATGATCGGTGTGGCCAAGACGGGCTCGGGTAAAACTCTGGCCTTTGTCCTACCCATGATGAGGCACATCGCTGATCAGCATGAGTTGGAGGACACGGACGGACCCATAGGTGAGTCAGTGAGTTAGTGAGTTGAATTAGTGAGTTAATTGGCGCTAATGAGCTTATGAGCGTTAAGAATACGCATAGCTGATCAACATAAGTGTTGGAGAATGCTGTTGAACAGATGGTTTGATAGATGAGCTAGAGAGTTAAAGTGTGAGGGAGGGGCGAGTTTTATGAGAATGCCGGGACTGTTTTGTGTTGGGTGGTGTATGTGTGTCGCGAGGTTGTGAGTGTGTTGTTCATAAGTCATATTGAGTGTGAACTGAGTTACGTGAATGTTTTTCGTTAGTCGTTCTGTGTCAACTTTCCTGTCGTGGCTGTGGATCGTGTTTTGCTTGGTAGCCATGATTCATCACCGTGTGTCATGAGATGTTCTGAAAGCATCACGAATTACATCGGTAATGACTTAGAACTACTCCATATCAGTAGACTACCCAATACAGTAGTCTATGACATAGGACGTAGACTATCCTGGCATAGACCTTTTTGCTTGGTTTCGCGACCTCTTGCGCCGACTTTTATCTTTACTTCCCGTAAACCATTATATGTTCGTAATTCGTATGCTACTCGAACGCACTTACATATTCTAACATTGTGTTCTCCTCCTCTGTTGTTAACGATCATTATCGCCCTAACTCGGGAACTCTGTCCTCAAATCGAGCCCGTAACAAAGTATTAGCGTGTGTGACTTTATTTCCCTGTTTACAGGTCTTCAAAAGCCATCTCGTAACACAAGCAGCATCATATGCTCCAACCTGTGTGTACTTTATCCCCTGTTTACAGGCCTTCAAATTGAGCTCTAACACAAGGAGCATCATATGCTCCAACCTGTGTTTTCTTTGCTCCCTTTTTACGGATCTTCATAGCCAGCTCCTAACACAAGTAGCATCATACTTTCTAACCCGTGTGTTCTTTGTTCTATGTTTACAGCAATCATCATGGCCCCTACCCGGGAGCTCTGCCTCCAGATTGGCAAAGAGTGTCGGAAGTTCGCCAAGCCTCTCGGACTCCGTGCTGTCTGCGTGTATGGAGGAACCGGTAAGTGTGGGGAGGGATAAGAGTGTTTGGGATAATTCTAACTAATGGTAGAAATGTCCATGTCCAGCTGTTGCTAGCTTTGTGGAGTATTTTTAGGGGTATTGTTAGGATAATTATAACTAATGGTAGCAATGTCCATGTCCAGCTGTTGCTAGCTTTGTGGAGTATTTTTGGGAGTATTGTTAAGATAATTATAACTAATGATAGCAATGTCCATGTCCAGCTGTTGATGGCTTTGTGGAGTATTTTAGGGGTATTGTTAGGATAATTATAACTAATGGTAGAAATGACCATGTCCAGCTGTTGATGGCTTTGTGGAGTATTTTTGGGAGTATTGTTAGGATAATTATAACTAATGATAGACATGTCCATGTCCAGCTGTTGATGGTGTTGCGGAGTTTTGTTTTTTTCCGTGATGTGAAATGCTTAGAGTTCGTAATCGTTGTGGATTATTTATTACAGTATGTAGATTACGTGTTTCTCGATAATGACGTGACTCAGCTAAGCTGCTATTAGATTTGACAGTGTGCAGCCCAGCCATTTATGCATCAACGATATGGTACTCCTAGCGTTAATGTTCCTTAGTATATTCAGCACTTCCCCACACAATTATACACTTCCTCCAGACATCACCATTTTTCCATTATATTTCTCCCACACGTTTCAACGCTTCCCAATCTACTCTCTTCCCTCCATGAACGGCCTCTCTCATCTCTTCCCTAGACATCTATAAGAACTCCCTTTCATCTCTTCGGTATAAATGAAACCCCTGTTCTCTCTATCCACAGGTATCAGTGAACAAATCGCGGAACTCAAACGCGGCGCTGAGATCATCGTCTGTACGCCGGGTCGTATGATCGATATGCTGGCCGCCAACTCTGGCAGAGTCACTAACCTGGTCCGAGTCACCTATATTGTGCTCGATGAGGCAGACAGGATGTTTGATATGGGATTTGAGCCACAGGTGAGTTAGCGAGGGGGGAGGGCTGGCTTTACTGTGCTGGTGTTAACTATGTATAGTCTGGCAAAGCTAAGAAAGAATGGATTTAAAGTGCTACGGCTGTTAGTGCATGTGCATTTATATTGTGAGAGCATATTTTCTGTCGCAACTTTTTCACAGAACTTTCTCCGAACCATACATATCAAGTGATCAAAACACGATGTATCCCTCATTGACAAATATATTGATCATGACAAATATATTGATCACGTTCATGATCAATGGATGCTCATGATCATCCATTTCGCCCACAGGTGATGAGAATCATCGACAACGTCCGCCCGGACCGCCAGTGTGTGCTGTTTAGCGCCACATTTCCGCGCCAAATGGAGGCCCTGGCGCGCCGCATTCTCATCAAACCCGTCGAGGTGCAGGTCGGAGGGAAGAGCATCGTCTGCAAAGATGTGGAACAGCACGTGGTGAGTTTTGGCGGGAAATCGAAATAATAGCGGGAAAAGTATTGTCTGCAAGGATGTCGAGCAGCACGTGGTGAGTTTTGGCGGGAATTGTCGTGGAAAATAATAGCGGTGAAAGTATCGTTTACATCATAGATATCGAGCAACACGTGGCGAGTTGTGGCGGGAAGTAATGGCGGGCTCAGATTGACGAGAATGACATTGTTAATTAGGATGTTTAGCACCACCTGATGAATTGTAACGGTAAATAACGGCGGGAAATCAGGGTGGGGCAGGAAAATAGCTGGAGGCTGAGGTGTGTGAAGTGGTATTGTGAGTTGATGTGCACAGACTGCCTTGCAGAGTCGGCTACGACCAGTACCACCGACATTCTGCTTTGCGTTCCGAAGTTTGTAACTATCTTCTAAAGTGTGGCTTGTGAGCTCATTCTTGGTCCCAATCGCCGGGGGGGGGGGGCAATAATATTTCCCCTGAGTACCCCATCGTCAAAATGAACCGCTTCTCGAAGCAAATAACGAATGTGCTCATATTTAGTAGCTCCGCTTAATGCCCGCCCCTCAAATAAAACTCCCAAGTAGCTAACAATTAGACCTGAATTCTTACCGTTATCTGTATCTTCTGTCCGTCAGATTCTGTTGGACGAGTCGCAGAAGTTCTTCAAGCTGCTGGAGCTGCTCGGGAAGTCGGATCAGCAGGAAAGCACGCTCATCTTTGTGGACAAACAGGAATCGGCTGGTGAGTGAGTGAGTGAGTGAGTGAGTGAGTGAGTGAGTGAGTGAGTGAGTGAGTGAGTGAGTGAGCGAGCGAGCGAGCGGGTGAGTGAGTGAGTGAGTGAGTGAGTGAGTGAGTGAGTGAGTGAGTGAGTGAGTGGGTGAGTGAGTGAGTGTGCTCACCCCTTATGCGAGCTCTACAACTGTGTAACTGAAAGCCCTGCAAATGTGTAATCCACGTCTATAATTTTCCTCAGATGACCTTCTCAAGGACCTCATGAAGGCGATGTACCCCTGTATGGCGCTACACGGAGGTATCGATCAATTTGATCGAGACTCGACGATCAATGACTTCAAGTCGGGCAAGATCAACCTGCTGGTAAGGATAGATATATTTTGTTTAAGATCGATATGATGATCAGTGTTGCTTTGGCTTCTTTAGTTGACCTGGTTGTCTGTTGGAATTAAGGGTGATTTTGGTTTAATGATGAACTACGAATTGCAAGACGGTTAGAGTGAGGCTGACTTTGAAACTAGGGCACAGTATGCTAGCGGAATGATCCTTTGGCTAAGATGGTTAGCCACGTATCCCTGTTTCCCCGTTAAGCAGAAGTTCGTCCTACAATTGCGTACTCTTGATTTGGTATGTAATATTGCGCCCAAGGTCAATTGCAAATGTAATAAAATGTTATACGATATTTTTATTCTAACCAAATGATCCTTAACTCGCTTGGCCCTGATGAAAAATTTAACCCTAGCCTTCTGAAACCTCCGACAGTCCCATCAACATCAAAAACATTTAAACCTGACCATGTTTCATGTTCGTCCTCCCCCAGATCGCCACCTCGGTAGCGGCGCGAGGTCTGGACGTCAAACACCTGACTTTGGTGGTGAATTACGACTGTCCTAATCACTATGAGGATTACGTACATCGGTGTGGTCGCACCGGCAGGTAATTCTCACATTGGTTTCCTCGGCACTGTCTTATGTAGGTAAGGGATACGGGGTAGTGGATGTATGCGTAGTGGGGTACAAAATATACCTACGTAGTACCTAACTCTGAACCTACGACTGTCCCAACCACTACGAGGACTACGTTCATCGGTCTGGTCGCACGGGCAGGTAAAGGACGCTGACATTGGATACATATTGATACACCTGACCCTAGTGGTGGATTACGACTGTCCTAACCACTACCGAGGACGTTTACGTACGTCGTACAGGTCTCGCGGGTTTAAGCGGTAAGCTTTGCACCTATAAAATTTAGTGTACTACAGGCTATATCTTCGTCGTCTTAAGCTTTTCAGTGTTGAAGATGCGATCGACTTGTTGGTTCACAAGCCGGCCATGATCGTGTAAAATGGCTTCATCGTAGATCGATTAGTTTCTGAGATATAACCGGAAATGTAAAGGTGCAAAACCTACCGCTTAGTCTCGCGAGAGCCGTACATCGGTGTGGACGAATGGGCAGGTAATTGCCACAATGGCTTCCTCAACATAGGGTAGGCATGTGCATAAGTTGTTTAGGTAAGGAAAGGGCTGGTATTGGATTAGCTGAATATGTGGTACCGGTAAGGGGCACTATCTTGATGCATACCTACTTAGAGCGCATATTTGGCCGGTAAGGAAATTATGTAAGTACAGTCACTGCCGTGAATAGTGGATCCTGATGTAGGTGCTGAGGGGCATCATGTAAGTGTTGTGATGTGTGCACGCCCCTGATTTTTTATTTGTATTATGTTTTTGATAAAATTGTTAGTCTCATTCACAGTTCCAAGTTTACTGACGCTCTCTACTGTCCACGATTTTAATGGATCGTTATGTTCATATTTGTTATCTATCTACCAGTCAACTCCGTATGCGGAGGCCTATGTTGTGCCAATATATGAACATGTACTATTGTGTTATGTTCCACCGCAAGTCTAAACAAAACGCGGACTATACTCAGTTCCGTTTCAAGCTTGCGGCCGAAGTGCCCTGCTGAAAGCAGTGCGTGATTTCTGTATATACTGCTCTTACATTCAAATACGCAAATTTTTGAGCGAAGGAGCGATCTGCCTAAGAAGTTTGCCCAAAAATCTGCCCAAGAAGACCGCAAGCTTGATGTGGAACAGACTATAACAAAAATGCCTAGCGTCGTCATTACAGTGTTCATAATATTTGCTATCTACCGTCCTAGTTCTATCCCAGTTACTGACACCCCCTCCCCCTCAGAGCTGGAAACAAAGGTCGTGCCTACACCTTCCTAACCGAAGACAACGCTCGACAAGCTGGGGACATCATCAAAGCCCTGGAGCTCTCAGAGTCCAACGTACCGACTGATCTCAAACAGCTCTGGGAACAATACCGGCAACAGCAATCGGCGGTAAGGACTGGGGAGAGGGGGGATTGGTGGGGGGGGGGGGTCAATGATGTGGATGAATTTCGACACTGCAGACCCATGTCACTCCGCTTTTGATGACATCCGAAGGGGGCCTCAGGACAACAATAGCGCATGGTGCGCCACAATCGCTTCCGTGCTACGAGAACAGTTACCATTTTTGAAAATGTTAGTTTGAAATAAAGTTACAAATAAAAAAATGTAATAAAGTTGTTCAGTAAATCGATACCTTATCTAAAAGCTTACTAAAAAAAGTAATTCATTCATATTTGAAATACGTCAAGCTATAGATGCGTTTTTACCTTGCTTTCCTGCAGAGGGTTTTTAAATCGTCCTTTCTTCAAAACCGGCCATTTCTGAGCACATTGCTGCTCTTTTTTTTTTGTCGCTAGAAATTTAGTTGAGACTTCCATTGTTTTCTTGTTGCTATTCTAATTGAATCTGATACTAAGCCTTTGTCATGCAATGCTGATGTAGGTAACGTCAGTGAAATAGTGCTATTCATGATGCAATATCAACGCTCTCCATGCCGCAGGAAGGGAAAAAGGTCCGCACGGGTGGCGGTTTTGGCGGCCGCGGCTTCAAGTTCGACGAGAACGAGGCACAGACGACTACGGACCGAAAACGGTTCGAAAAGGCGGCACTGGGTGAGAGTTGGGGAGAGAGGGAGAGAGGGAGGGAGGGGGAGGGAGAGAGAGAGAGAGAGAGAGAGAGAGAGGGGGGGGAGAGAGAGGGGGAGAGAGAGAGAGAGAGGGGAGAGAGAGAGAGAGAGAGGGGAGAGAGAGAGGGGGGGAGAGGCCCGGCCGGGGAGGGAGGGAGATAGATATGCCGCGGGGTAGCAGCTGAGCCTACATACGCTAGACGAGTTTGCCTGATTGCTACCCTTTACACGACGCTTTGCACTTATCTGTAGCTTGTGCAATAATACAACGTCTTCCCTTATATCTGGCTTTCCACTTTCCAGCACGTCCTACATCTATGGGTTATTAATTTCTTGGATAGGTCAGATAGACACGTAAGTCTGGAAACATAAGTCGCCACTAGATCACATATAAAATGTCCGTTTTTGCGTGTGGGCTGTATTCCTGACTCGTGATTACGGAGCGAGCGAAGCGAGCGTAACTAGTCTTTCCTTAGAAATTTCTGAGTATGAGCGGCCGACCGGCCGGCCGGCCGGCCGTGCGGACGCCTTTGCGAGGCTTATACCTCAGCAACCACTTGACCGATTTACATGCGGTAATTTTTGTAGGGTAGCTTCATTCCTTCTACCAAGTATTGGACTATTCCCGATGCATGTGGGTGACCCCTTATGCACGTGCCACGTGCAAAACGAAGAGGTGTCAGTTTTGTAATTGTTGCAATATCTCGGTAACTGCTTGGCCGATTGCGCTGAAAGTTGGCATTTAGGTAGGCACCCACTAGGCACTGCATATCCATGTGCCAGAGTTGGGGTGCTGCTGCACGTGCGCACGTGCAGGGGTCGATTCTAGATCTCGAGAACGGCTTGACCGATTGCGCTCAAATTCGGTACACAGTTAGGGACCGGTTAGTAGGGTGCCGTGCACAAGTCAGTCGTGACCCATTTTGCACGTGCGCACGTGCAGGGTGCCGCTTCCAGATCTCGAGAACGGCTAGGCCGATTGTGCCCAAATTTGGCACATCGCTAGAGACCAGTTAGTAGGGTGCCGTGCACAAGTCAGTTAGAGGTACCCCCTCGCAATATCGCACGTGCAAGGCCCACCCTCTCGCTCGCTCCGTTAGTCGCCCCAAAAGGCGTTATACTGGTAATAATATCGACCTTTCCCGTACCCCAGGTCTCCAAGACTCGGACGACGACGATCTGAACGACGACATGGACTCCAAGATCGAGTCGATGCTGGCTCCAAAACGCTCCGTCAAGGAGGTCAACAAGCCCCCGCTGCTGACGCCAGTGTCTTCCACGGCGGCTTCCACACCGACTTCAGCTGCAGCGGCGGCGGCGGCGGCCGGCGCCGGCCTGCTGGGGCCCGTACCGACGCAGCCCAGCCCAGGTAGGTGGACGTGGGGCATTATCCTGGAATTACTTTCGGTCCCAGGGTGTCGAGTGAAAAATTATTTCCAAAAATTGCCTATAAGAGTGGAAAATTAATATCGAGAAAGGCCTCTTCGCGAGAAAAAATTGAAATCGCAACCACCGTAGCTGAAAGTGAGCTAAGGGGTTTTTGTGGCTTGCACTCTGATGATATCAATGTTAATCACTCACACAGCCATATGATTGAAAAATGACTTGTTTTGAAGTTTGTGAAACATAGTGGGAAAATACCCCCCCCCCCCCCTCCCCCATTGAATACGAAGAGAGGAATATTCATGGCAACTGGGTGTCAGTTTGCACCCACTTTTCAACCCTAGCATACTGACGTGGGGTTTGGGGCCTGGGGGTGTGTTTGGGGGATATATTATAACCTACGTGGTTTATAAGTCAAAGTGAGTGTGGCCTGTGGTTTTGTCAAATGATGTTTTATGTCTTTTGACGAGGAGGTACTCCAAATCTAGAAATGACATATTCATTGTAGTTTCCAAATAGTAATATAGATATTTTGTAATTATTCGGTGCCCATCTTCTCTAGTTTCTGTTGTCGTTTCTGAATATGGTTTGCTCTCTATTCTTTTGTTTGATTTATTTATGGAAGTAATTGTCACCATTTCGTGTGTACTTCGTAATCGTTTTCATTTCGTCATGCTGTTTCCCATCAAGCGCCAACCACTGCATCATTCAGTCTTTTTCCTACCCGTTTTCAGGCGGTGCCTCTGTTCCTGTGTACATCCTGGTCCTGGGGGTAACTTTGTTATGTCCTTTCCCAGTGATCATAAATTTCTGACCATGTCATACCAGCTTAGTCGAGATTTTCTTAGCCGCGATAGATGTCTAGCCCATAATCCCAAATATGTTGTCCTAAATCTGTAATAAATAGGGTGATATAGGGTAAATAGGGTGGTAATATTTAGGAACTTATCTGCTCTAATATTGTCCTTTGTTTCTCCTCCTCCTTGCAGATGTGCTGGCACTGATAGGAACCCTCTCTCCACCCCACTCCCTCTACCCGACCTCATTCCCATTCTACTGGGCAAAGGCAAAGACTGCTATGTAATGTCAGACTCTGACCTCACATAGTAATTTTTGCCTTTTGCACGGCAGGACTATTCTCTGCTCTAATATTGTCCTCTGTCCCCCCCCCCCCCTCCTTGCAGAAGTGCTGGCGCGAATGGGCGGGCCGGCGTTCGCTAATCTGGTCCGAATCTGCGACTCTCTTTCCTCCGCAGCAGCGATGGGAGCAGCCATGAACGTGCCTCTGGCTCCTGGAATGGCGCCAGCCATGCCTGGACTCCTGGGACCCCCGCCTGGAGTAGCGCCGCCCGGAGCACCGCCATTCAGCGTACCACCCCCGCTGGCGGCCGGAGGGGCGACGCCATCGGGAATTCCTGGATTGATGTCGACTTCACCATTCGCTGGAGCGAGTGGAAGTGATAAGCTTGAGCTGGCGAGGAAACTAGCGCTGAAGATTAACGCCCAGAAGCAGTTGTCGAGTAATGCTGCGGCTATAGCGGTGTCTGTGGCAAGTGGAGTAGGAGGAGGAGCGGGGGTGGTGAGACCGGGAGGAGACGGACTGCTGGGAAGACCGGGACAGACGCCAGTGTTGACGGTGAGGCGGGGAGGGGGAGGGAGAGAGGGGGAGAGAGAGAGAGAGAGAGAGAGAGAGAGAGAGAGAGAGAGAGAGAGAGAGAGAGAGAGAGAGAGAGAGAGGTGGAGAGAGGGAGGGGAGGATGGGAGAGAGAGAGAGAGAGAGAGAGAGAGAGAGAGAGAGAGAGAGAGAGAGAGAGAGAGAGAGAGAGAGAGAGAGAGAGAGAGAGGGAGGGAGAGAGGGATTGAGGAATACGCAGCTTGTACCAACGTGAAGTGAAAGAAAATTATAAAGGAATGATTATAATCAAGTTATAAAGGGATATGAGAGGACCTCTAAATATGTTTCACTTTAGCCATATTTCACTTTTTTACCTAACACTAATATTGCACTAGCTACTTCATAGAAGAAATATTGGATCCCATTGGCCATTAGCAGCTAATCAAACTTAACCTTGCATAAAATTTCCGGAAGTTTCCGATTTCTACCAACGCATAATCGTAATAAGTGGAACTGCGTACTCTTGTGGTTTGTAAATCATCTGATGTCACCTCCTGCGAGCTCATTCATCATTTTCATCACCCTCATCACCTCGTTCTTCGGCAGGCTCGTATGGTAGCCGAACAACTCGCTGCCAAGCTCAACACCCGTCTCAACTACATCCCCGAGGAAAAGACGGAAGAGGAACCCGAACCAGAGGAGCCCGTCTTCACAAAGTACGAGGAGGAGCTGGAAATCAACGATTTCCCGCAACATACGAGATGGAAAGTCACCAGCAAGGTATGTTCTGTCGTGTAAAGGCTGAAACGGTTACGTCGGGTCAGAGGTCTACCTCAGGTCAGAGGTGACCCAAACCTAATCGGTTTTACCTTTGTGCGGCAGTTTTGGACAATAACCTTGAGTTGGAGTGCGTTGTTGTTGATCTCACCCTGTCAGAACTTTGCTAGGCTCAATTCGAGATCAGTTTCCCTTACAATACAATGCAATACAATACAATACGCGTACAATACAATGCATTGTACGCGTGGGTTACCGACAATATTGGTAAGACCACGTAAGGCTCTGACCAATGTGACGCCGGGTTTCGTCTTCGTTTTGATTATTCTCTGTGGATCCAATATAACCCTTTGTGATGCAATATAACCATTATGTGTGGATACAGCATAACCCTTTGTGACCCCATCGTAACCCTTCTGATCTCATTCCGTCCCTTCACTGCCGTTCCCGGTTTATGTCGCTATCTACCCCTCTATAATTCCTCATTGATCCTGCTTTTTGTCTCGTACTTTTTCTGTCTCTGTGCCTATGTAATTGTTTCCAAATCGTACAAGGAACCCAAAATCGTCCCAAAACCCTGTCTTTAAATGTTGCTTAGTAATATATGTAACCTCTTCCGACCCATTACACCCTCGTTAACCCTTTTCTACCCCCCTCTGACCTCCCTTCTTCTCACCCCTTCAGGAGGCGCTCGCTCAAATCTCCGAGTACTCCGAAGCCGGTATCACAGTCCGCGGCACATACTACGCCCCTGGTACAAAAGTACCCGAGGGCGAGCGGAAACTCTTTCTTGCCATTGAGTCCGCTTCTGAACTGGCCGTTAGCAAGGCTAAAGCCGAGATCACACGGTTGATCAAGGAAGAGCTGGTGAGGGCGCAAACACAGCACGCGGTGGGTAATAGGGGTCGGTATAAGGTGTTGTAGGGGAGAGAGGGGTATGCTAGGGAGAGCGAGAGGGGTTAGTGAGTGAGAGAGAGGATGGGAGAAAGATTCGTGCTACATTGGTTCTTGTCTAGTAAGGAAGTGGAGGGTGTCTTAGTTTGTGTTTGAGAGAATTTGGGGAGAACGAAGCTTCTTTTGTCCAATGTGTGCGTGAGGGAGGATTGTGTTTAGCTTGCGGCTGAGAGGCTAGCAGAGACTAGCGCTCCATTGCTCTAGTGCTCGCGCGTGGAGAAAGGAAGACACGGGCTTCTCTTCAGAGGCTAGGAGAGGTAGATGAACCATATCTTTAGTTCGAAAGTTTGGCAAGAGAGTGATGGCTGCTTGGCGTTTGCTTTTTAGGATAGGAGAGATGAATGTTTTAGTAGACTCCTGTGGTAAAATGAGTTTGATGCTTCGTTGTATCCGAAGGTTGGGACTTTTCAATTAGACAATCACTATTCTTTAGAATTGTGATTTTCTATTGAAAATCCCAACCTGAGCTACCTCTCTAGGGGGGTGTTTAGCGTTTCTGCCGCGATTTTGGTCATTTTGATTCCGAGAAAAACGGCACGGTAGAATTTTTTGCCATTTTCAGCGTTTGGTCCCGTGTGGGGGAGCTACCTTGTGTCAAAGTTGCATAAAATATAATGGGCCCGTTTTGGGGTAATCGGCACGTGCATTTTCCCATAGGGTTAACATGGGGAAAAATTAAAAATGCGATTTGCGCAAAATCTGTTCAGTAATATTTGTCCACTTTTTTAGGGTCAGTTCTTGGGCTGGCACCTCACCTTATGGGGGTAATTATTTAAAAATCATAGGGTACAGTTTCGGGTAATCGTGACGGACAGTTACCCCATGTTGAGCCTATGGCGATTTCGAAAAATTATTTTCAAATCGATTTTGCCAAATATTTCCACGTTAGATTTTGAAAATTTTCCAATATGTTGTGCCCCGGGGTGTCGGCTACCACGTGGTATGGGTCAGATATGGGGCGATTGAAAAGCACGTGCCACGTGCAAACGTGTTTGATGGGGTAACCTCCGGGAAAATCCGACATTGGCCAACTGGGGGTCCTATGGCGTGGAAACCACTCCACCTAGCGACACCAAATCAACGCAGCCGGTGAGCAGATGAGTCCAGCTTGTCGCACTAGTGGTCACGTGGCGCACGTGCTATTGCACGTGCCGTGGCACGGGGTCAATTTTGGTGCTTAAATATACTAGCATTGTGAAATGCAAGGAATGGGGGAAATAGCCGTCAGACCGTCAGTTTTTATGATAGGGTCGATCTGAAAACGGGTATAGACACAGAATGAAGGGGGCTAAAAAACTGCTATCTCGGATTTTGTGTAAAATGAAAAATTCAAAATTCTGGGGAAATTATATATTCGAAAGGTGAAATTTCACTAAATTTTCCCGTTTTTCGAGTTTAGCCGTCCACTGTTCAGGGATGGTGACACCGGCCGGGGTCATCTTTTATATGCTGATGGCCACGTCGATGGGTCATCACGTGGCGTGAACGGTGAAGCTATCAAAGGTCCGGCACGTGTCACGTGGCCACGTGTTTGAGTCGCGTACCTCCCAGATTATCGTGTTTTTGCCGATTTGTGGCCTTATAGCACGAAAACAGCACAAGCCAGGAACACTGAAATGGTGCAACCAGTGAGGGGACAAGTCCTGCTTGCACCACCGGTGGTCACTTGGCACACGTGCAAATCTGGGCACCTCCGTTGCGGAGATATTTTATAGTGAAATATTCAAATGTACATAACTTTTTCAGTTTAAGTCCGATTGGGCTAGAATTTGGTGGGTGGATGAATTGTTAAGCGACATGAACGAATGCGCCATGTTTGTTGCAGTGCGCCACGTTTGTCTCAAAGCGCCATTTTTGCCGCAAAGCGCAGAATGTGCGCAACTTTGTCGAACACTGGACGATTAGTGTGCGCTGTAATTAAGGGATGGCTGCTTATACGGCAGATATGAATGCACCACATTTGCCGCAGGGCGCCATATTTTGCGTAAATGTTTGCGTTTTGCCTAAGGCGGGCGTTTTTTGCGGCGGTTTTTGCGTTTTTTTTTCGGTGTTTGCGTTTGACGGCGGGCGGCCGTTTTTGCGTTTTTGGCGGTGTTTGCGTTTGGCGGCGGGCGGCCGTTTTTTTGCGGCGGTTGGTGGCGGGCGGGCGTGCGTTGCGGGCGTTTTTTTGCGGCGGTGTTTGCGTTTTTTGCGTTTTTTTTTTGTTTGGCGGCGGGCGGGCGGGCGATGCGGGTGTTTTGCGGTGTTTGCGTTTGGCGGCGGGCGGCCGTTTTAGCGGCGGTTTGCGGTGGGCGGCCGTTTTTTTTGCGGCGTTTTGCGGTTTGCGGCGGGCGGCCGTTTTTTTTTGGCGTTTTTTTTGTGGTTTGCGGCGGGCGTCCGTTTTTTGCGGCGTTTTGTGGTTTCCGGCGGCCGGGCGTTATTTGCGTTGTTGCGGTTTGCGGCGGGTGGCCGTTTTTTTTGCGGCGTTTCGCCGTTGGCGGCGGGCGATGCGAGCGTTTTTTGTGGCGGCGGTGTTTGCGTTTTTGCGGTGTTTGCGTTTTGCGGCGGAGGGCGTTTTTTGCGGCGTTTTTTGCGTTTTTTCTGCGGTTTTGGGCGGGCGGGCGATTGTTTTTTTGCGAAATTTGCGTTTGCGTTTTGGGCGTTTGTTTTGCGGTGTTTGCGTTTCGCGGCGGGCGGGCGGTTTTTCACAATTAAAGTCCCAACCTTCGGATCCGCAGAGCTGTTCGATATGCGTGTGAAAATAGAATGATTTGATTTTGTAGCGATGTGTGTTGAGAACTAGCTGGTATGAGTGGAAGCAAGTGTGTGTAAGTCTAAGAAGGGGTGTAACAAAGTGTGAAGAGGTCACCATTGGTTCATTGGGCGCTGCAGTAGCCACTGGTGTCTGTATTCCTCGTGGTTTGACATGTATTTACCTCGTGGCTGCCTGATGGTTTCCTATGGTTGTCATAGTGGTTACCTTCTGGTTACCGTGAGAGGGAACCGATGACCTCGCTAGTAACCATCAGAGACCCCTTGCTGCCTTGTTGTTACCGAACCGGAGTGAATGAATAGGTTTTCTTTTGGTTTTCATGTCGTAATCGCCGGTGACTGTGGTTGCTGTGTAGTAGGAAACCAGCAACCATGTGGTTACCGTGCTAGCGTATGTGCCGGTCTTTGTTTAGGTGCCACTTGCGACTGCATGGCTGCCATGTGGGTTTGAGTGGTCTTCTTTCTTACGGCGTATGGTAACCGTCGTAGTTCTGTACGAACCGCGTGGTTCTTGTCTGCCCCCGAGTGTGGTTGCCCTGCTGGAGTGAGTGGGTTTTCTCGTGGTTTTCGCGCGGTTAACCGTAAGTAACCACACGTGGCTTTCGTGTTTTCTCGGCTGGTTTCCGCAAGTGTGTCTCGGTTGTGCGTAGGTTTCATACCCACCGGTAACCCTTGGTTATCACATGGTTACCGAGAGTGAGCTGGGTTCCTGGAAATCCACCGCCTGCAGTGAACACGAGTGGCATCTCATTACATTCGATAATGTGTGTTGAAACGTCATTCATCGACCATTATGTGTGTTTGTGTGTTTTCGGCACGTGCGTGGTCTCTTGGAGACAAACATTTGTCTAAATACAGGGACCTTCACTGCTCATAAGGTGTGTATTTTTTTATGTTGCTTGTTGGACATGTCTGTTGGATGACTGAATGCCCAGAAATGAAACTAGGATCGGGATGAGTGACACATTTGAGTGAGCGGCAGGACACATGTAAAATGTAATTCAGCTTGATAATGTAGGTAATTCAAGAAGATTTAACGTTCCAAAATCAAAACTCACTACTCACCAGATAAATGCACTAACACATTACGTAATTTGAATCCGAAACGTACATCGTTCTTATTTTATCGTCGCCCTTTTACATAACGACCGTTCTAAAACGTACTCAGTTCCTTTCGTAAGTCATCTTCTAACAAACGGTCGTACACGATTCGGCACAGTTCTCCCATACTGTAAAGTGTAAACTTGTAGCGGTACAGTACAGCTGTCAGCATTTGAAGACGCTCGGGATTTGAATATGAACCGTCTGGTGGACTCGTGGTTGAGGTTTTCCAGATACCCCACGGGCACGGCGGTGACAGGCGGGGGGGGGGGCGGTAGGAGGGGGGAGTGAGGAGCCCTTCGACGGCAAGGGAGGATTCGTTAGTTAGCGTGCAGATGTGAGCGAGGGTTGAAGACAGACAGACTAGAGCTCGCTCGACGGATTATAAGGACACGGGCACCGTATTTTTCCATGACGTATTGATGTATGTATGCCGTTCTGTTGAAGCTGAAGCATAACAGTTGGCTCCTGGCCCTGGCAGGTGGTGTATTTAGCTTGGTCTAACCCTGGCTAGTGGCTATGGCTTGCCTCGCAATAACGCTTATGGTTTTTGAGTTCGGACACCGTAGCCACTTTCCATTCACGTCGCATTTAGGTACTCCGCACTGCTTTTGGAACCGTCTTTCGTGCTGTAAGCGAGCAGTCGTAACGAACTCACAGCGACTCCTACCAGCCACTGGAGCCATATCAATATATGTCCAGGGGCTACCCCACGCCAGGACACCATGCCTGCTGGCACAGATTTGAAATCGACTGTACAAACCACATGTCAGGAAACCGTATCTATTTCATGCCTTGCAGCCCCCCCCCCCTCGTCGACTGCCGTCACATGTCGTGCAGTGCCCCTCGCCTTCGAACGTGCAACCCCCCAGGCGCCGTGACCCCCCTCTATCGTGCAGCCCCCTGGCCGCCAACCCCCCCCCATCCGCTGTCATGTAGACCCTCCCCCTCGGCTACCCCCCCGTCTCCGTAGAAGGTCGACTGTCGCACCCCCACCCCCCTCAGTTGCATACACCAGACTACCCCGTCCCCCTCAGCAGATGCCATGCCCGATACTCTTGTTGCTACCCGTCACCGCGTTCGAACCAGCCCCATTATACAGCCGGAGCCCCCAGCGGCGGTCAGGGGCCCGGGTGTACAAATGACCTTGAAGAGGCCGTCGAGGAGTGGCTCTGGCCTCTGCCGGTAGAGACGCTCGACCACGAGTGCGACCGGCCCAGGGCAGGCGTGGCGTTAGAGAAACAGGACCGGTCCAGTGCTGGTTCTAGCGCTTGAAGTGTCTGGATTTAGAGTTCCACAGTATGCGCTAGGCCCTTGAACGGCCTAGACAGCAGAGCAGCTTGCCACAGCGGAACTCAATGAGGTTATTTTATTAGGATTTGAGTTAGGGCGTTCGTGCTAGGATTTTATTCTTTTGAAACTTTAATGTCTACATAAGCCTTTCTTTCGTTTTCGGCTAGACAGTGACAAATCAGAAAAGCTTGAAGCGTAAATTCGTAACTACGATGGACAGTTGACACAAGGGGCGAACCGAAACGCGTGACACGGAGCGATAGGTGTTTCGTTGGCGTTTTCTCTCGGCTCTCTCTCTCTCTCTCTCTCTCTCTCTCTCTCTCTCTCTCCTCAGTTCCGTCGTCCTCTGCAGTGCGCCAGTACCATTACATTCTCTTTCCCTCTCCACAATTTCAACCTCTCGAAGGCCCTTTCCAACTAGATCAAGTCCCAACGCACTCTCTTCCCCTCCCCATTTGAACTCCAAACGCCCTCCCTCCCCTCCCCATCTCGCTCCCAAGACGCTACCCCAGAGCCCCTCTACACATGCTGTCAGTCGAGCCTCCGTTTGACACAAACCATTCGCCCCACCCCTCCCCCTCCTCCCCACCACCACGTGAATAACTCCGCCGTCTGTCTGAAGTTGAACCAAGGCAGGGGAGGGGAGGGGGGGGGGGGAAGTAGTGACCCACATTTCCACGGCCCGTCAAGCCACGAGGTCTCTGGCTGCGACCACTCCCTCTTTGGACCAGGACCGTCTCAGGTTAGCTGAGATGGAATGTTCCACACTAGCGCTCGGTCGCTTACGAGAGACCGGTCGGCCGCTTTCGATTCGGAGAACTAGTCCCGCCGCCGGCGGGCGAGTGAGTGTGTTTATCGTTGGGCTGAGAGGGACCGTTTCTAGACAGGGATTCTAGCGTTCGAGATCGAGTTCGATGCTACTGCAGGGGCGGCTTCAGAGTTGTGATTTGATGAGTGAGCTGTGACAGTGTTTAAGAGGAGGGAAAGTGTGTCACTTGTGTCAGCTGCATGTGTAGATGACACTGTGAAAGTGTTATCGACACGTATCATGCCCGTTGTACCCGAAGGGCGCCAGCTTTGCCAGTGACGACACATGAGTCAGTTTGCTGTCATCGGACATTCTTGGGATCATGCCAGTGCCCTCCTTAGTCCCTACACTGCGCTGTAATTTGTACAGAAGCAGTGCTATTTTCACATAGCATTGCTAGCGCGAGTCAGCCGTACTAGAGTCAATCCCAATGTGTCAAAGTGTCAGAACCAGTGTCATCCCACGGCGCTTTGTCACCACATTCCCTCTAACCTACGTGTCATTATATGACACGTGATACGCACCACCCATCCTCAAACCCCTAAATCTCTCCTCCGTTTATTTATTGTACAAGGATCGCCATACCACCGGCACGACGTTATCTCAGAGGAGACACTCACACACACAGGGGTACGAACGCAGGTTGGCATAAGCTGCGCAAAAGGCACGGAGCCCCACTACAGAGCTCGAAAGGATGCGAGAACGCACGACTGTTACCTCTCACACACACACAAACACACACTCAGGTAAACCATCCCGAACGCAGTTAAAACTCGGGCTAAGTAGCTTCAGATCAGAAGACGGACGATATAAAAGGTAAAAAAGCACAGGGAAGACTGGGATGATAAAATAGCAGTAAAATGGGTTCATAAATGAGATATGCGTTGGCAAATACATGATCAGTTTGTAAAAATCCTGCTGCCTTCAGCTTCATCGTACGCAGTCTAGAGAAAATGACAATAAAAACCGCAAGATTCCTACTGTTTCTCTAGACAAAAATGAACACAACTTCAGATCGACGCTCGAAAAAGACGCCAAAAGCGCTAGAGAACACCACTCAAGTCACACACCACCACGGTTTCAGATTCATGACATTGCACACGTTTCCTGGATGGGGACAATACCCCAGCAGCTGGCTGAAGACACCCGGGATGGCACAGCGGATAACGGGATAGTGGATAGCGAGGGGCGGATAACGACGGCGGGTACAGAGAGGATGCCGGATGACGGATATTAGACAGCGGATACAGACAATGGATAACGATAGCGGATACCGATAGGGGACACCAGGCTGTGGATAAAGGATAGTGGATAGCTGATAACTTGGATCGACGGATAGCTGATTGAGGATAACCAGACTGCGGATAATCGAGCAGCGGGATACTCACAGCGGGTCGGGATACCCATAGAATATCCCAAACAGCGAGTATCCCCAGCAGGAACCTACAATGGGATACCCTCCTGCGAATACGACAGCGGATAATGACTTACAGAGAGACAACAGTGAAAAACACAGAGAAATCCCACAGCTAATATCCAAACAGCAAGGTAAACCCTCAGCTGCACCCTACGCTATATCCACCTTTTCACATACCACCTACCGTCTCCCTCTCATTTCTAAAACACAAAACACTTCACACACCTACCTACATCATCTAACCGCTCCAGCTTTCTCTACAACACCCTCAGTGCAGCGCTGCGCGGAGAACAAACGCGGCCAGAAGGGCTGCCGGAGCGAGCTGAGTGACTCCCACACTGTTGCAAAGATCAGTGAAGCACTGGCAAGAGTTGACGATGACCTCGGAGTTGCGGGAGCCGGAGCATTCCTTCGTGTCGTTGGCGAAGCCGCAGCTTCGGATGATGCGAACCTCCTCCAGAACTGTGGGGGAGGGGGAGGGTAATTATTGACAGAATAGTTAGATCATTGGTAGCACCAAACTGGGGGTCCTAATTTCCACGCCGGCTTGGCTTTGGAGCCGGAACAGACGGCGGAGGTCAGGGTCACTGTTAGGGCGGCGGCGGATTTGGTGCGCTAGGGCACCCGCAGCTTGGCACAGGGTTTCACCTAACTACGTGTAAGATATATACGGGAACAGCGGTAGATAAGGGACATAGGCGTCGATCTCCATTACCAACTGTAATGAACATATATGTCGGCGGAAGATTGGAATGGCAGACAAGTTACGGAAGGACAGAGAATATCAGCAGAGAATACCGTAAAGAAGACGCGGTATCACCTTGTAGTCATAACAATTGACAGCACAACCAAACAGCCGCGTACGGATTCTGAGTAGTAATCGCCACGCACTTTCAGGATGTGGATTGCTCATAATTGTTCAATACAATACAATACAGCCAGTCTGTGACTGGTGACTGGCTGTCACCAGTAACCGGGTACAGCTACGACTCACAGAAACACGTGTTAGGCAGAGCGAGTAACATAACGGAGGAGATATAACAGACTACTGAGATAGTGTTACACCGAGCTCACATCTAACACGGATTTCTCTCTTCACAAGTAGCGGACACTTAACACGGAGTATACATTCTGGGGGCGGTGGGTGGACAGTGGAAGGGGCAAAGACAGAAGAAAGTGTAACCAACAACACGACGATGAACCCGGGTCGGATAGCAGGCAAAGGCGGCGTACAAAGCCAGCCAAATACTCAAAGACACAGGTAAGTACAAAGCCTTGGAAACGCCTATGTAAGCCTGTGTACAGGTACTATGAAACAAGGAGGGAAAAACGTGAGAAGAGTAGACAGGACTTGTAAAAAAAAAGTCGGCCGGTGATATCCGACAGCACAGCATAAACAGACAAAATAAATAAATCCACCGTTACATAAGTAATGGGACCAGAGGGACGGGATCGGTAGTCGCAACGGGTCTGGCATGGAACGGTACTACACCAGTTTATTTATGGAATGGTCAAACGCACACTGAAGTGAACGGCACTCTGTGCGGTTTCAGAAACCAGCCAATCACAATCTGACTGACAGAAGGATGAAGAAACGGGGCGGATATAAGAACGAGGAAAGGCGGAAAGGGGAGAGTCGCGACAGTGACGGATCCATGGGAGGGCAAATAGGGCAATTGCCCCTCCGAAACGGCAAAATTTTAACATTACGCCTATATAGAGTGCATGGAAAGAACCACCTTGTTTAAATTAAAATGGCTTGCCCTCCCAAAAATCTGAGCTGGATATCCCAGTGAGACGCGGCGAATGAAGAAGAAAATGGATGGACTGGAAGGGAAGCAAAAAGGGCGGGGAGAGAAGGGAACCGGATGATGATTTGGGGAGATGGGAATGGGAAGATGGAAAAGGAGAAGACAGGAAAGGAGAAGAAAAAAGAAGAGAAGTGATGGGAAGACATGAGATGTGAGAGAACTAATGACAGACGAAACACGAAATCGAGATGTAGAACAGATGGACGAAACGGTACCAACAGACAAAGGGGCGCTGGAGGTAAGCTTCCATCGACACCACTAATCCTACCAAGCCCGCTCCACAATAAAACAAAGGGCCGGTGACAAACCCTCGCCTGTCTGAGCTGTTTGAGCTACCTATACCAGCGGCCTAGGGCCTGGCCTCAACCACACACTCCAACCACTCACAGGCTCAACGCGGCGTGTTCATGTATGGTAATAAAACCAGTTCGAGCTTAGAAATAGATTTTAGGGATAGCTACTACCGGCGGCAGAGCTCGGGTCTGTGAATATATTGCAGAGGATTGTTACTACGGAAAAGGCTGGCGCATTTCGGAGTGAAGGTCACTTGGCCTGGCGAGGTTGTCGACTGGCAGGGTAGGTGGCTGGAGGTGCCGCGTTACAAGGTACTCGGTGATCCTTGGAAGAGGACTGTGATGTTGCCAGCAAATCATTGGGCTGTGATGTTTCAATTATACTCATGGGTGTCGCATAAAATGAAGCGTCCTCCCCTAGACTGTACATATAGTCGACTACAGAATGCTGTTCCACTTTTCACAGGCAATTATTTGCCTGGAGTGGTAGGCTGTGCCGCATCACACGGCACGCTTAATTGCGTGATAAACGGCACAACTTAGCGCTCCGGTCAACTGATAGCTTGAATCTGAGGAGTGGAACATCATTCTGTAGTCGACTATACTCTGCCAACAGGCTGACACTCTTTCGACAGCCAGAAAATCGTATCCCAGAACCACTTCAAATACATCTGCTCTAGCCCGCACCTCATTGCGAGGGATTGACTGAAGTGAATGTTTTGGTATGAACTTAGAGTATATGACACTTATCAATGTAGTCACGGTGGTAGAGTACGACAAATGTGGTACGACATTACCAATATCGCGAGGCTATGATGTACGACGTACGTCTTAGGATTAAGCTTACTACTCTAATAACAACGTTATAGTACGACATGCATAAATACACAGTACAACATTCACAATATAACGAACGGGTGACAGTGACAGTGACACTGTGACAGTACGACACCTGGGTACGACACACAATGGTCTGAGGCGTAGGAAGGCACACATGGTACGGCATATAAACGACACTTTGCAGTCCCACATGGTGTACGATACAACACACATGTTACGACACTTATCGGTCTGAGGCGAATAAGGCACAGGGCCTCATGCTGGACTCCTTATGACAGAACGACACTAATTACCGGTGTGATAAGTGATACAACGCATGGTACAACACTTCTCAATATCGCAAGAGGTGCAGTACGACACGTTTTACAATGCTGAAACCTGGCCTGCAATTCTACACTGTACGACACTAAGCAATGCACACATAACACATGTATAACAGATACTATACCCACAACAAACACATTGGACGACACTTCCCAACCTAGCTAGACATACGCTATTACCAGTCTGATATACACTACAGCACGCTGAACAACACAACAATATAGCAATTGTTACACTGTAACATCACAATACCCATGTACAACACTGCTAAGGAAATGCTAAGGCACTCACCCGTCTCATGCGTAGTTCGACACTTGGTACGACACTTAGAGCAACACATTAGTGTTCACACTACACTCAGTGTAAGATACTTGCATCGGCCCAAGCGACACAAGTGCGGCACTTGCAAGCATCAGACCATTAGCGGTCTGATGCTTGGTACGACACATGGTACGGCACTTTGTCCATTACCACAGATGGTACGACACTCACCGGTCTAATGTGTAGTACGACACATGGTACGACACACTTCGACATTGCAGTATCCGTACGACAGGCAGTACGCCACTTACCGGTCTGATGCGTAGTACGGCACAGTGCCCTCATTCCTTTCTCCTTCGGCTCGGGACAGGTCTTGATAAAACCAGCCGCCTTGGCGCGGGCAGGGTCCAGCTCATACTCGCAGGCGGTGTGGTTCTTGGTGGTGCACTCATAGCACTGAAGGCCAGAGCCTGGGGGTAAAGAGGGAGTCAGAGAGGGAGTATAAGACAAGCCTGGGGATACAAAGGGAGTCAGAGAGGGAGTATAGGTATAACACAGAGGGGAGACAATACTCGCAAGCTGTGTGGTTCTTCGTGGTACATTCGTAACCCTGAAGGCCAGAGCCTGAGGATAAAGAGGGAGTTAGAGGGAGAGTATTAAGCATACGTATACAACAGAGGGGAGAGACAGAGGGAAATAGTGTTAGGTAGACATAGGGCACCAGGAAGGAGAGAGTGGATATGAGGTAGGCACTCAGCAGAGTCATTACCAACACATTACAATTTTACATTTTCCACTCCACCCCGACCTAGAATCGGCCGCAACTTGCTTTTCAAATTCGTACCGTAAGGTGGGGCTATTTGAGACAGTGGGGCTATTTGAGACAGTATTTAAAATTGCTATAAAATAAAAACCACTTAAAATTTATGCTTAATTATTTGCTCAGGCGATTTACTGCTCGATTCCACACCTCCCTGAGCAAAAACATCACACAAAAATCGAACGATCTTCATTTTATAGCGATTTTAAATACTGTCTCAAATAGCCCCACTGTCTCAAATAACCCCACTTTACGGTAATCCTATCTTGAAGCAATCAACTTCCAGACCCAATGCTGAGAAATTGAAGCTCTAAAGAAGCGCAAGCAAACACCCAGTACGATGTTGCCAGGAAGTGAGAGGAGCCACCAGCGGAAATGGGCGTGGCTTTGCCAGATTTTCTCACGTCACCACACGTCCCGATGGGACCAGCAGCAAGTTCATGCCGTGCTCATGGCTTCACGGATATGGCGAATAAACGTCGATAACATCCATCAATCGATAAACAAACGGTCAAAGTTGGGACTGGATTCTACGAATGTATCGCGATAATATGGATGGTCAGTGGCTTGATTAAAAATGGGGTCAGTGGCTTGTTTCAACTGGTGACCATTTTCAAGCTAAAAAGTCATAGATAATGTAATGTAGATAATGTAGTCACAGATAATAACAGATACTCTTCGTTTTGTATTGCTTTTAGTATCGCAGCCTTTATTAAGAAGCACAGATAGGTACACAATTATTTTAATTTTAAATTTTTGATTTCCAGCAGAGATCAAAATTTTGAAAGCAAAATTAATACCTAATTGCTAGATGAACGGTGATGACTAACTTGAATTTGATGATCAGTAGCTGGAGCCTAGTCTGTTTCCTCACACAAAGCTCAGCCAAACTGGAGTTGAAATTGCTTTCAGCTTCCAACTCAGTGGGAATGGTTGCCTAAATGTTTTGATTTTCAATATTGTTCTTGAAGGGTATGCTGGCAGTCCACAGCCCCGCACAGCAATTAGTGCCATCTTTGGATCCAGCTATGTGCTTGTTTATTGCAAAAATGTATATGCGCATGAATCAGGTGTTCCCTTTCAATTTAGGAATGGCATGGGGTCTGTTCCAGCGCCTCCAGAAACCTCCAGAAAGCTCCAGAAAGCTCTAGAATCCTCCAGAGAGCGTTCCAGCGCCTCCAGAAAGCTCCAGAAAGCTCTCGCCAAAGCTCCAGAAACCTCCAGTAGCCTCCAGAGAGTTAGGAGGTCCAAATTTCTCTGGAGGCTCTGGTCTACAATTATGGCGCACATGTGACAATCACGAATGTAAACAAAGGACTTTTGACTGATTATTTTACAACTTGAATGTAAAGAAAATTACATTGCTATAATTTTGTTAATCTTTCTTAATTAAATTGAAAACAAATTTTGTGTTTCAAGAGAGAACAATCGTCATTCTTTTGGTATCTGTGATGCTAATCTCCAGAAATCTCCAGATTGCGTTCCAGCGCCTCCAGTGAAACCTCTGGTAGAGCCTCCAGTCAAGAATTTCTACTGGAGGTGCTGGAACAGGCCCATGGATTGGAGTGCAGATGCCATACTAAGCCATACTAAGGAGTATGTGATGGGGTGCTGAGTGCTGTGACAGAAGGAACTACCTTTTTACATTACACAGCTTGAAATTCCACAGCTCACTCAATCTTATCATTTACAAGAAAAGCTAGATCAATTAATTTTATTAGAACAATGCACCAAAAGTTAAAACACATGAATATTAAATGCTAATGCTTGAATCAAGCATTAGCAGTTTTCTCTTGAAAACCAAAATAAGACCCAAATGCACTGCCTCAGTGGCACATTCACCCAAACAGTAACAATTAAATCACCATAAAAAATGATGTGCAATGTGTCGGACACGGCCAATAGAGCAGCATTTTGGGCACTATTTACCCCCTGTAGCCTACAAACTGTGGGTAAAAGAGAGCTATAAAATAACTTTCATTATGATAGATAACTAAATGATAGATATGATTACCTATATGATAGATAGATATGATAGATATGAATTATTATGATAAATAACTTTCATAACTTTCATTTCATTATGATGATTATTCATTATTTCATAATCATGTGACTTTGATAGGACAATAAGACCATCACAAGCCATGTTAGGCTTTGCAAAGAAAGAATCCAGGAGAAACAAAACAATGATTTAGAAATCAATCCATTTTCTGGACCCACACAAGCACAGAATTGGTGGACATTGGTGATGGAAAGAGGGCAATATCTGACACTGGCTGCGGGCACATCCAGGGGGTCGGGAGGGGCAGTCCCACAGCATCTCTGATTGATGAAACTGCATTATTAATATTATCCTCCCTTTGACAGAAACTTGGTAAATTGAATCGATAAAAATGGCTTCAAATAACACAATAAGTAAAAAAATGGACATTGAAAATTTACACACCTGAAAAAGGAAACAGGAGCATTCAAGCTAGTTCCCCTAGTCCGAAAAACCTCTTACTCGATTTGCCAATGATGTTGAAGCCTCATTTAATCATTGAGAAATGAATATTTGCTATGTAAAGAAAATAATTCAACACTTTAAGAAATGAATACCTATCTTTATTTTGATACGCTGGAACCATTAATATTGAATTGGGTCTGACAAATTGGCACTTTGCCCACACTGCGCCAGAAATGCACAAATACAAGCAATGCCGTACTTACAGGACGAAAACATTGAAAAAGCCACCATTGCGGCGAAGAAAGCCATGTAGGAGTTCATCGTGCAGTCGTATTGTAACGCCAAAAAGCCAAATAAATCCAGTAACTCGCAGCAGGCACACGCACACACCACACGATCCAACAGCCAACAGCGAAAAGGGGCGTTTGCGCTCAAAGCGGCCAAATCTTTTAAACTAAATAGTATATTTTTTGAAACAGGTGAAGCACAAAAATTCTTCTATCAACTTTCAAATTTTTAAAAGTCAGTTATTGATTTTGACCTTTGAAAGTGTCCAGATTTACACTTTTTGAAGAAAAATTTCCTGAATATTCGTTTAATATTCTAGATATACTACTAGCTTCTATAGCACATTATTTCTATTTCAATTTGGCAGCTCAATAATCACAGAGGGCGCTACAAACTCGATTGTAGAGGACGCTAGTATGCAGAGAGCTGCTAAAAAAGACCTGACCAAGTTGGAGTGGTGTTAGGAGTGGTGTTTCACCGGTGATAGCAGCACACTGCTATTCCAAGTTCGCGAGCTGACGTCACACTTGTAGTAGTATTGGAGCAATGGGCTTGTTGAGATCTTCATGGAAACCAAAGTTGACACGTGAAATAGCAGCGTGCTGCTATCATCGGTGAAACACCTCCAGGTTTTCGACCGTCGCCAGTGTCGCCGCGTATCCTAAGGTCTACAGAGCTGAGGCTCCCGAAGCCAACAGAGGGCGCTATGACTGTGACCAACAGAGGGCGCTCTGAGACCAGCGGAGGGCCCTTTAGCCCCACCAGAGACCTCTAATGCTATAGAGAACCCAATGAGACCGGCAGATGATTCTCTGAAGCCAAACGAGAGCCCTCTGGGGCTCTCGTTCCAACCGACCGACCTAAGGTCACCACATGGCTCCTCAACAGAATGTCCTTTGAGCCCCAAGGCCAATAGAGCGTTCATTCAGCCCCAGTGGACCACCGATTGGGGCCCCCTGAGGCCAAAATGATACCCTAATGCCCATTGTCAACCGAAGGCCCTCTGAGGACTACCAGCAAAGGGCCCTCTGAGGCCAGCAAGTGACTTTCATAAGGCCAGCAGAGGATCATCGGTCTCCCTAGGAGACTATGAACCACTAGATGCCGACGACTTATCGCTGGACTCAATGATTTTATGCGAGGCCGAAGGCCGATGACGTATTATGGCCTACTGCTGAATGTGCTGATGAGGTAGCCGTCCCACTTGAAATCATTTGTGAGATGTCTGTTTCTTGTGGGTACTTCCCATCCTATTGGAGACAGGTTAATGTTGTTAGCATTCATAAGAAAGGTTCCAAGAAAATCCCTGACAATTACCGAGCCGTTTCCTTGCTCTCAATTTGCTCAAAAGTCCTAGAGAAGGTAGTTTTGGAGAATCTCCTGCCGGTCTGTCTTCCTGCCATCCCCGCCAACCAGCATGGATTCCTGCCAGGCCGCTCATGTGTTACTAACCTGTCCTGCTTCCTTGATCACTGCTGGTCCTCCATTTCCAAAGGTAAACAGACAGACGCCATTTACACCGACTTTTCGTCCGCCTTCACGTCTGTAAACCATGTCCTACTTCTACACAAACTCCGCTCATCCTTTCACATCACTGGCACTGCTCACTCCTGGCTTACATCCTACCTCAGCGATCGCATGCAGCGCGTTGTTTTGAACGGCAAGCATTCGGCGTGGACTGCCGTGCAGTCAGGCGTGCCCGAAGGCAGCATTTTGGGACCTTTGTTGTTCGCGTGCTTTGTTGCTGACATCCCGAAGTGTATGGAGACTGGCTGCCTGTTATATGCAGATGATGTCAAGCTGTTTCACCGAGTGGGGTCCGATGATGATGTTGCTTTACTTCAGGCCAGGGGCCCGGGAACGATTTTCAAGTTGGGGGGGCGAACCTAGAATATCTGACATGAAGCATACGAACAGTGGCGTAGCTAGGGGTCTAAGGGGACACGTACCCCCCCCCCCCCCTCCATCGGGTTCAAAGGGACCCTGGGGTCCGAGGGGCCCTGCGGCGCCATTTGACCGCTGAGGGCTAACGATTGCCATATTTCGACTTAGAAGCACCTCACGGGCCCCAAATAGCCACACTAAGATCTCCACAAGGGCCCCACGCCGGCTTCTGAGGGCCTTTTATGGCTTTTAAGGGCCCCCCGGTGGTCTCCAAAGGCCCGTTACTGGCCTCTTGAGAGTTTTTACCGGCCTATGAGAGGCCACTTCTAGGGGCATTTCCCGCCTGTGATGGTCCCGCACTTGTTTTTCTGAGGGCCCCATAACGGCAACTGTGGGGCCCTCATCGGCGCCTATGAGGGCCCACGGCCATATCGGTGTCTCTGAGGGTTTCACACCCCCAACTCCGAGTGCCTACACCAGTGCCTAAAAGCCCTATATCGGCGGCTCTGAGGACCCAACCAACACCTGCGCATCTAAAGGCCATCCACAGGTGACTTTTGAGGGCCCCACACTGGTGACTCTGAGGGCCCCACCGGCGTCTGACAGTACCATGCCGGTCTCTAAGGACCCCACAGGACTTCTTCTGTCGGCCTAAGGGCCCCTTGCCGGTCACTGAAACCCCCTGCCGGCTTGTAGAGAGCTCGCGTCAGCAGTTCTAAGGGCTCCACACCCGTATGTAACGGCTTCACACAAGCGTCTATGAGGGCCTACAGCAACGCCTGTAAGGACCCTCACCGGCGCCTCTGAGAGAATCACACTATACTCTGTTCCGTTTCAAGTTTGCAGCCGAAGTACCCTGCTGAAAGCAGTGCGTGATTTCTGTACATACAACTCTTACATTTTAACCCTATTCCTGGCGGGGGGGGGGGCCTCAGGAGCCCCCCCCCCCTGAGGTTTTTTGGTTATTTCTCCCAAACGCGTTGAGCTAGGAAGCTCAAATTTTCTGACTTTTCCTATAAGGCTTCTACGCAACATGTCTGAAAATTTTGAGTTGATCTGACCTCAGGTCAGGTCACCAGAGGCGGTTTGGTGACCCTACCTCAGAAAAGTTTGCAATCACGCCAGAGCTAGAGTTTTTGACCGATCAATTTCTTCTCTTCAGGCTTTAGTTAGGATACCAGTATGTGCAATTTGTATATCTCGGAATTTTGATATCGGTGACCTAAGGTCAGGTCAGTTTCGCGACCTCCCCATTATAAGTCAATGGGGGAAAAATCAACTCCCTGTTTTTACCACTAAAACGGGTCGGAATGCCCCATATACCATACATGACTTCATATACGATCAACCTTCGCTACCTTGAGGTCTGTTTTGCTGTTGGGCAGCTGTGAGGTCATGTGACGTCATCAAAGGTCACCAAAGGTTTTTGGCCAATAACTCCGTACAGGAACAAGATACAGACGCGTGGATGGTCTCATTGTGTTCAGCTCGTCAAGACGCATCGAATGATATACATGATGACCTCGAGGTCACGTGACCTGAGGTCAACCTTTGACCTTGACCTTTCGAGGTCAACATATATATCATTCGATGCGGATTGACGAGAGGATCACGATGATGCCCTTAGTTTGTTCCTATCTTGACTAATTCGAAAGTTATTCGAGAAAAACTCTCTCCATATCTAGCGCCGCCATTTTGACTTTTTCGACCCCTGTGACGTCATCTTTGACCTGACCTGAAAATGACCTTAGTAAAAATTGTAGACCTTGTCCATGCGTATCCGATGCCGTTTACCGCTTGTCGCTATCTTGCTTCGTTCTCGAGATCTCAGGGGGGGGGGCCGAATCGGCCCCCCGCCAGTTTCTTGTCCCGGCGGAGCCCGCCAGGAATAGGGTTAAGACGCAAATCTTGAGCGGAGGAGCGATCTGCTGAAGAAACTCCAACTGCAAGCTTGATATGGAACAGACTATAGCACCTCTGAGTGCCCACACCGGCACCTGCATGACGGCCCCACACCAGTGCCTCTAAACTCTAAGGGCCCCTTACCGCCGGCTCTGAGGGCCTTGCGCCGCGCCGGTGATTCTGAGGGTGCCACCGATAACTGAAGGCACCACACAAGCCCTTAGTGTCGCTGAGCTTTAATCCAATACCGGCCCTCCGAGGGCACCCCGTCTGTGCACCCATTGCCCCACACCCCTTCCTCACACCCAGAGCGGGTAAACTGTGTTATACCTATAGCAACGATTTTACCACTGTTGTATGTATGTTATGTATTTCTCAAAGTTGACCCAAAATGGTCCATTATAAAATCTTGCCTGCCAAACATTAGCCAAGGTCAGGCCCAAACCAAAGCGGGATGACAATAGCAGATGTTGTCAAATCGATACTGTACCAATCAGCAGAAAGCATTCAGATGGCAAGGAGAATGCCGTGTGTTGATGTTTAGATGTATAAAGGAAACAAGAAGGAAAGAAGTCCGGAAAAGGGAGGAAAGATCCTTTCTCGCCGCCTCAATGTTGAGGGGGAGCCGCCCCCTCGGCTCCCAAGTTGGGGGGGGGGGGACAAGCGCCCCCGCTGCCCCCCCCCCCTGTTCCCGGGTCTATGCTTCAGGCGGACTTAGACAAGCTTCACGACTGGTGTAAAACATGGAAACTAAAACTCAATCCGGTTAAATGTCAAACGATCACTTTCACCCTTAGGACAACTCCCATTAGGTCGACATACAGAGTTAATGGTCATGTGCTTAATCGTTGTCAGGAGGTGCGCGATTTAGGCATCCTTTTGGACGCTAGGCTTACGTTTTCGCAGCATGTTGATGCCACCATACGGAAATGTAACAAGATGTTAGGCCTAATAATGCGCAGTGTACAGTTGCCTCGATGTCCCCGGCGGGTCAAATTCAATCGAACTGCGCTGCTTGCCGCCTACAAAGCTCACGTCCGCTCAATTGCTGAGTACGGCAGCGTTGTCTGGAGCGGTGCAGCAAAGACTCATCTTGTGCGGCTCGAGCGAATGCAGCATCGTTTTTTGATGTGGCTGGCATCAAACTCCGACGGAGACGGCTCCAGTCTTGATTACGTGTGTCTCCTGAACCGCTTTGGTTTGTGCTCGATTAAGTCACGCTTTGTACAGACCGATCTTTCATTTCTAGTCAATGTGTATCGCAATAGGATTGACTGCCCTTACCTGATGGCAATCTTCGGACTAGCAGTCCCCAACAGACGCTCTCGACAGACAGGGCTGTTCCACGTACCGTTCGGTCGCGTGGACACTGTGAAGTCAGTGTTCACTGTCCGTATCCCTGTGCTATGTAACCGCTTCTTGCAACATACACCCACCGCTGACATGTTGGCATCATCGGGCTCCGTTTTATCGGACATCCGTGAGTTTGCTCGTTCTCAGGAAACGTACATGTAATATGTTGTCATCGTTGTGTGCATGTGTTGTGTTGTGTTACCTAGTTTAAATTGACTGCCACTGTAAATGGGCTGCAAGGCCTGTAGTCGGTTAATGCAAATACAGAAATACAGAAATACAGAAATACTGGACTCCATGATTTTGTCCGCCTGGAC